CGCATTACGTGACGCTTGCTTGTGCGTCTGATCGCCTGAAACCGTGCAAGGACAGCCCAACGTTAGACATGTCACCGTTTCGTCGTTTGGTTGCTTTTGTTAGCACCATTTCTTCGCTTATTCTCTTAGTTCACACTATTCCCTTGCCATCGGACCTGTTTAGGGCTCAATCGCCCTAGTACACAGGACACTATCCATAGTTTAGCAAGTCGCAAACGTTATTGACTTCACAATAGAATATGGTAGCTTGGTTCATATAGCCTAATATAGACCTGGCATGTCTTTGGTACACTAATATCTCGACCCCACTGTCCCCTGTGCTTCTACTGGCGCCCCACCCCTCCTACAGCCCGTTCTCCTGGATTAGGGTTTGGGGGTGGCGGCTATGGGGGTGTCGGCTGTGACTTCCTCCACCTGCTCCTCCTCCTCTTCAGTCTCCCACTGCTGCAGCTGCCGCTGAGGGGGGTGGATGTGGGAGTGGAACCGTTGAAGTGGTACTTGGGGGGTGACGGGGGAGTGGAGCTAGGGTGAAGCACTGGGTGTGTGGGGGGTGTGTGGGACTGTTTGCGGGAGGTTGAGCGGAGACTGCCGTCTTGTCGTTCGCAGCACCTGTAGTCCGGGGCGCTGTCCCGGTAGCCCAGTGAGCTTGTCGCTGCGCCAGTCGCCTGTGGGTCCGTAGCTCCTGCCGCTCGTCTTAGCCGCGGAGCCAGTTACTCCTGTAGTCCGGGGCGCTGTCCCGGTAGCCATTGTGCTCGCCACTCCTGTTGCCCGTGTGTCTGCAGCTTCAGCCGCCGCCTCCTATTTCCTCTCCTCTCACTGTCCCTCCTCCTCCTCACTTGCCCGCTGTGTTAGCCTCTAGCTTACTTAATGTGCTGATTACACCCCACTTTGGCTAGGGGGGTGTGTCTGAATGTTATATTCACTAGCCTGTAGTGGGGTGCTCTATAGCAAGTACAACCCTGTTAGGGTTTGCTATATGTATCCTTGCTGCTGCTAGTGGAATCCCTCTCCTTTGCTTCAATTCTCGCTTGCCTAGCTAGGGTTCTCCTAGCTATGGCGCCTTACTCTCACTACTATCTCAACAGCGGCGTCCCTCATGGCGGTCCGGCTGCCCCCTCCCTATCATTTGGATCAACAGGCATCCACTGGGGCAAGGCTAAGAAGGAGTTGTGAAGTTTCACCAACATCATCGCTACCCACCATGAGGACCTCTCGTTCCACGACAGCTTGAAGCACATGCTCGCGAGCGACGACTGGACCGCAGCCTACCCGAACCTCGTGAGGCTGTGGATGGTAGTGGCCGTGCTCCCGCTTAGCACAGTTGAGTGCGAGCGGGGGTTTAGCCGGCGGAACGTTATCAAGAGTTGGATTCGCAGCAACCTTTGCATTGCAACTCTCGGGGAGCTGATGACGGTGTCATTGCTTGATTACGAGCTGGAGCCGTAGGGGATCATGTCGGTATGGCACGGGAGGAGGGCGTGATGGCACAGGCGGGGTGCTCTGTGAAGCGAGCAAAGCGTGCAACAGAGGCGGCTCAAGCAGCAGCAGTCGCAGCATCGAAAGCAGCAGCAGCCGCAGCCTCAAGAGCTGCGCGTGAAGCAGAGGCGGCAGCGGCGAGGGAGAGAGAAAAAAGTAGCCGCCGAGGGGGCACTCATCCCCGCGTGGAGGAGGAAGAAGCGTCAAGTAGTCGCAGCATCAGAGGATGATGACGAGGATTCTTGCTCTGTTAGTTCTAGTGAATCTGATAGCGAGACTCAGTAAGTTAGCTGACTTGTAACGTTAATGTTAGCTACAGACTAGTATCTAAACATCGTCTGAATCGACAGACAATACAAACCACTTTCATTTGAAAGGTTAGACAGTGCTAAAAAATCCGTCTGATGGTCAGACTAAGGCCAGAACTTCTGTCTGATTCTAAGACAACCTTCTTTACTAGCGACGTCCCTGGTCGCGGCCTGCACAAAGTTGCACGAATCGCGACGTGATGTACGATTTCAGATTGTTGACGCGCATTCCATCTTACGCACTCTGCATGTACCTATATATTGCACTAAACCCTCATGATCTTTCATCAACATGTTAGGTGTTCACGAATTGTAAATGTAAATATCAAGTTAAAAATAAATACTTGACTAAACTTAGACTTATAGTAGCTCGAAATATATTAAATTGACATTAGTAATTACTATAATCTAATTTATCGAATGCTTTACATAATTATATTTGATGAGATTAATTGAACCCTTATCATCCGTAAAAAACTCAGAAGTTGTGACAATCACACTATTTTGCGTATAATTATGAAACAGAGCAGAAACAACTGTACATTTTTCAAACCATGCTGTGGTGCACAGTTTCGAAACAAGGCTGATAGGCTAGGGAGGTTCGGATTGGCCAACTAAAAAACCTGCCGCGATGTTACTTCGAACTCATCCCACCCTAGTTCCGAAAGTTGGCAGAATCTACGTGAGAGTTACTAGTCTAACTAAACCTACTAGAAACATACTCCCATCCACCCGCACAGAAAGTTAACTTTCACAAACCTACTGCACACCCCAACCCATTTTTGGGATGACGTGGCGTGCAGTCCGCGCACGCCGTTGGTGCAGATGTGGTGGTGGCGCAATTAAGGAGCGTGCTTAGCGACCTTCCTGTCGCCGCTGTAAGGAGGGGAAGAGAGAGGGAGGGGGGGGCGGGGGGATGAGAGGGGAGGGGGGGAAGAGGGGGTGAGGGGGGGGGGGGCGGGGCGGGGCGAGGGGAGAGGTTGAGAGAGAGGGGGAAGGGGAATGGCGAGTCTATTATTATGCCAATGCGCAATCTCCGGCAGCACACTGTACGGTTGTCAAACCCCCCTGGGCTGTCAACCCTCTACATCCGTATCCGTACCATTTCCGTTCCCCCTTCTCTTCTCGCTCTCCCGTTGCTGCCTCTCCCTCCACTCCCCTTCCCAACCCCCCTTTTCCTCCGCTTCCCCCATTCTTTCACAACCCCTCTTCCCTCCATGTTCCACAAGTCCCACGCTTGCATGCTGTTAAACGCATGCTAACGTGGAAGCTGCTGTGTGTGTCTGCCAAACCCCCTACTTCTCCCCACACGTCCCCACCCCGATCCACACCAAAACCCTCCCACAATCTCGCCCCCATCCCTCCGCTCCTCTGCTTGGGCATGCTGCCAAATGCAGCGGTGGTGACTGCTGTGCGTCTCTGCCAAAACCCCCCTCTTGCCACACGTCCCCGCTCGCCCCCAGCCACACCAAAACCCTCGTAAAATCTTGGCTCTCGCCCCCATCCCTCCGCTCCCCTGCTTGACAGGTCAAGACGGGCATGCTGCCAAATGCAGCGGTGGTGACTGCTGTGTGTGACTTTATGGAAGCAGAAGCAAAAGGAGGTGAGCGCAACGGCTATCGGATTTCGAGGCGCCGCATTTTTGCTGCCTGCTGCTGTTTGCGATGTGATGGTAGGAGAAGGAAAGGGAGGCGGGAGTCGGGAGGGGGGAGGGCGGAGGGTAAGGGGGGGTGTTGGAAAATGGGGGTTGGCGTCTCCCTTCTAACACCCCCTGTCTCCTCTGCCTCTCACCCCTCCTCCACACACCCTCGTCGTCTCGTCTCTGTCCGTCTCTCCATGCTCTGCATTCGTCCTGTCCCATCAACTCCTCTGGTGGTGGTAGGCTCAGTTGACTTTTGATTCGACTCAAAAGTCAGCGCCCTCTCGTCTCTGTCCGTCTCTCCATGCTCTGCATTCGTCCTGTCCCATCAGTTCCTCTGGTGGTAGGCTCAGTGCTCGTCGTGGCATTCCAATGATGCTCGTTGTGGCATTATGATGCTGCTCGTCCTGGCTCAGTCCTCCTCCTGTCCCTCTGGTTTCATGCATTTGTTGTTCCCCTTCCCGCTCCGCATTCCCCTCGTCTGCTCTCCCCTCTTTCCCACCTTCCCCCCCCCCCCATCTTTTCCCCTCTTCTCCTCATCCCTCGCCCCTCCCGTCCCCCCACTTTCCCCTCCCTGCTTTCTCTCTTTCTCCCCCCTCCCACCGTTTTCCGTTCGAGCCCACCAGTCCCTCCGTTTTCCAGTTCTGGTCAAGGTTAAAAAATACGACCGAATTTTTGAAATTATACCGTAATTTACGGAATCGTTATTTACGGTCGTAATTTACGGTAAAAAACGGTTACAAGTTGTAAAAACATGTTAGTTTAAAAATACGGTCGTAAATTACGACAGAAATATTGATACCGAGTTTGCACTTCGCGAATTTCAACATTTCACAATCGAAAACGGTCTGACCATGGTGTCAGGGTTGCCAAATGCACACGTGTGCTATTTTTCCCCGAGTCGCGAATGTCAGCAATTTCTCGAGGCGCGAAATTGTGTATATTGGCGAGCGTTTTGCAGGCTTGTTGCCCGTTCGAAATGTCGTTGAGGTATTTCATCGAATCGCAAATGTACAGATTTGCGCGACGCGGTTAATTGTACATTTGGCGAACGGATATCAAATGTGTATCCGTTTCGCGAGGTCGGTGGTTCGATTCGCGCCCCTTTCGTAATTTTCACCCGCATGCGCGCCACAATTCAATTTCGCGCTGCGAAACCTCTCCAACCAATGGCGATTGTACAATCTCCATCCCGTCCATCCCATCCCTTACGCATGTTCCCCTTCGCCAAAGCAAGTACAAATTGCTGCTCCAGAAACTCACTCGACAGGGCATTTGCTCTTTTCATAGTCTTAGTCTTTCTTCCCCACTTGACATCATGGTTAGACCGTTTTCAGAGGCAGCATGTGTCGAAGGTAACTTGGCCAGAAGGCACAGTCACTGTAACATGCAGCTACTGCCCTGCTACCGTGACCCCAAATGCGACCCGTATTAGAGAACACATCTACGGGACTCCTCGTTTACGAGAGAAGAATGTGACTCCATGCCCGTCCGAGTTTGCAAAGCAGCTTCGTGAAGCCGCCGAGAGGGAACGGTCTTCTAGTTCCAACCGTGCTTCTACCTCCACTTCGGTCGAGATGCAGCCCGCAAGGCGTTCTAGGCAGCGCGACATTCGAGATATGGCGGATACCGTGGCGCGCTCGCGGATAAATTACCTGTGGGCGGCAATTGTGGCGGAGAATGACCTCGCCTTCAATGTATCCAAGTCGAAGGCGCTGCAAGCCTTCGTTGACGCGGCCGTCGCCTTCGCTAAGCCGTACACACTCCCCACCCCTTACAAGGTGTCCGGCCCGCTCCTCGAAAGGCTACGGGCCGACTCCGAGGACCTTGTGCGGCCGATTAAGGAGTCATGGAAGACGTCCGGGTGCAGTCTCTCGGTGGACGGGTGGACGTGCCTCAAGTCCTGCGGGATGGTGTGCGTCATCGCCCACAACAACACCGTGCCCGTGATTGTCGACATCGTGGACTCAAAAACCGCCAAGAAAACAGAGGACTACCTCGCTGATCTCATCGAATCCGCGATCCTCAGTGTGGGGAAGAACCTCGTGGTCCAGGTCGTAATAAACAACACCTCAAACAACCGAGCCGCGGCTAAGAAGCTTGAGGTCGACTTTCCCCAGGTTTTTTTCACCAACTGCGCGGCCCACTGCTTGGACCTCATGCTTCACGACCAAGGCAACATTACGGCTGTCAAGCGCGTTTTGGAGCAAGTTCACCGGGTCGTCATGATGATCAAGGGGAGCGCCTCCACCGTCGTGCTTTTCCGCGGACTTTTCCACCAAGCTTGCCTTGGTGCGGCCGGGTGCGAAGCGTTTCGGAACCCAAGTCATCATGCTGCGCTGATTCCTGGAGGTGAAGAAAGCTCTCCGTGCCATGGTCATCAGCGAGGAATGGGAAGTGGTGCCGGTGGCGCGATAGCCTGAGGGGCAGGAGGTGCGGAGGCTTCTACTGGATGACGTGTTTTGGGAGTGTGCTACGGCGGTTCTCAACCTCCTCACGCCGGTTTATGAAGTGCTGCGGGTTGTCGACACGCGGGCACAAATCATGGGCCAGGTCTATGGCCTCATGATTGATGTCACAATCAAAACGAGGGTAGCTGCCGAGGCTGCTGGTAAGTGCCATAACCAATTCTGTTTTTTTTTTCATCACCTCGAACCGCACCGAATCTGTGATCCATGTTCCATCATACACACGCTTGCCACTCTTTGGACTAACCCCAATTTTACTCCCTCTTCACCGTGAGCAGCCTCTGTTTTCGTCAAGAAGACGAGCCTGCTGCCGGCTAAGGACAAGAACACATTCCTAGCTACCATCAAGACCGTCCTTGCGAAGAGATGGGATGGCCAGCTCCATAATGCCCTGCATGCCATTGGATGGCTCCTCAATCCCCGCAACCAATACGCGGGGGAGGTGAGAAACGATCCAGAGATAAGGAAAGGGACCGAAGAAGTGATTCAGGCCCGTGGGGGGGATGTGGCTGAGCGCATCAAGCTGTTTGCACAGCTCGCGCAGTATCACAAGGGTGAGGGCCGCCTTGGATCGGACGACGCTCGATGGGCAGCCAGGAACCTGGTGGAGGGGGGGTGCATGACGGATGCGGAGTGGTGGGGGATTTTTGGTGGGGAAGTACAATCGCTTCAGGAGCTGGCTGTGTTTACCCTATCACAGCCGGTCACCTCATCCGAGGTGGAGCGGTTCTGGTCCAACCTTGCACGTGTGCAGAGACGGGACCGCAACCACATCTCCGTGAAGAAGATGACGGATGTCACCTTCGTGGCCTTCACCAGGAGGGCCCGCGATGCATACGATTGCAAATCTGAGGCCCGTGCTAAGTTGTATGCCGACCTTACCAACGGAACCCTCAAGGAGGGCAGTGCCGTCCCCCCCGCAGCAGTGGAAGAAGAGGGAGGGGTGGCTGAAGAGGAGGGAGCCGAGGTGGACTGCACCATCGACTGGAACGAATTTGGGAGCATCGGTAAGAAGAAGAAGAAGCGGGCGGGTGAGTGCTCCAAGAGGAAGAGGAAGGAGAAGGGGAAAAGTGCATGCATGCGGAAGGCGAAAGGAAAGCGTGCAGAGGAGGAGGAGGATGAGGAGGCAGAAAGCAGTGGGCAGGAGGAAGCACCCTCCAAGCATGCTAAGGGTGTCCAGCCCTGGGACCTCAGTGATGGTGAGAGTGGGGAGGAGGAGGAGGAGGAGGAGGAGGAGGAGGAGGAGGAGGAGGAGGAGGAGGAGGAGGAGGAGGAGGAGGAGGAGGGGGGGTAAGTAGAGAGAGGAGGAGGGGGAGGGATTTGGTGTAGTTTTAGCTACAAAGGCTTAGCAATGCATGATAGTGTAGTGGTCCATTGTTTACAGGCTTGTTTCTCTGTCGTGTAGTCTCTTGTAGCCTTCCTGGTCATCAATGTAAGCTGCCTAGAAGTTTCTGGAAAAAAAAATTGCAACAAAAACTCCAACAAAATTACGGCCGTTTTTTTTTGCAAAAAGCACCGTAATTTACAACCGTAAATTACGGACCGTAAATTACGATCACCGTATTTTTCAACCTTGGTTCTGGTGGCATCCAGTGGAGACTCCCTAGCAGACAACCAAGCCATGGAGCTGATTCGGTGCGAAGTGGTGATGCAGGGTGGGGTTATGAATCTGTGAGTGTGAGTTTTGGTTGCTTGTGTACGAAGTAACTGGACTCTGAGTGTGATGAACAACTAGTTCTGAGTGTGATGAATAACTAGTTCTGAGTGTGATGAATAACTAGTTCTGAGTGTGATGAATAACTAGTTCTGAGTGTGATGAATAACTAGTTCTGAGTGTGATGAATAACTAGTTTGTTGGTGTGGCGTCTTGGGTTTGGTGTCCATACCAAGTTCTGAGTGTGTTTGAGTAATAATATATGTTGTTTGACCCACTTCCCTCTCCATGTCAATGTAAACTGTTCAACCTAAGGGACGCGGAAGCATTGCTGCTGGTGCTGCTGATGCTGCTGGTGCTGCTGCTGTTGTGGTTGTGCTGAATATCTCTTGAGCCATTGCAGCTGGGCGTGCCCATTCTGGTGCTGTGTCATAATTATTATCTCTTTCCCTCCCCAAAACCGCAGCTCTTGCCTCATCCCCCTGGCCGCTGTTGTCACGCCCAATTTTTGAGAGGCTGAGGCCCTTCTGCTGTTTGCTCTGCTGCAGCTTTCTTCATTCCCACTTGCTCAGTATCTTCTCATCTCGCACTTTCCATCTCTCTGCCTCCTCTAAACCGCAGCTCTCGCCTCATCCCCCTGGCCGCTGTTGTCACACTCAACCTTGGAGAGGCTGAGGCCCTGCTGCTGCTTCTGCTGCCTCTGCTGCGGCTGTGCTGATTTTTTCTTGTGCAATCTGTTTGTGTTTCATCTTCTCCCCAATCCTCTAACCCGCAGCTCTCGCCAAATTCCCCTGGCCACTGTTGTCACGCCCAACCTGCGAGAGGCTGAGGCCCTGCTGCTGCAACCGCCATGGTCCATCCGAACAACTGAGGACATGAGGCGAGCAGCCAAGGAGATCCACGCTCTCGGTGCCAGGTGATAGGGAGAGAGATTATGTGTGCGTGGAAGAGAGCTTTGAATGTGCACAAGATTAGAAGGCATCTCTCTGCTGGAGAAAGATGCCTGAGAGGATATCCGAGGTCTCTGCTCTGCGGGAAGAAGATCTCTGCTCTGTGGTGATTCGCAAACAGAGAGATTCGAGGTCTCTTGGCTAAAAAGGTTTGCCCGCCCGCGCCGCGCCAACATCGTGCCAGAAAGAGTTCTGCTTGTCAACATTCTGCCGCGCCGCCAAGCCAACATTGCAAAAAGCTGCCAGAACTCGTTTTGCAGAGTTGCCAGCAGCCTATGGGTTGTTAGCTGCGTTCATACTTCCGTCCCCTAACCATGTATGCATATCCCTCCCCCACTGTTTTCATGTCAATGTGCTATGCCTGTGAATGTGCGTTTGCCTCTGCCTCGGCCTCTGCCCTGCATGAATGTGAATGTGAATGTTCGTTTGTCTGTCACTCTGCTTTTTGTTGGTGATTATAGGTTGGTGCTAGTAAAGGGCGGCCATCTGGAGGGGGAAACAGCAACAGACGTGTTGTATGATGGTAAGTCAGGGTTTGGAATGGAGCATCAAAAGCAGGAACTTACATCTATCAGCCGGAAAAAGTTACAGTCCAGCCCTTCGCTCTCTCTAAGCACCCCCTGCCTCTCACTCTCCTCTTTCCCCCTGTCCACCCAAACCCCCCTCTTTCCATCGTGGTTCCCTCGCTCATCCTGTTAGCACACTAAACTATACCTCAGATTATCCTTCAGTCCCCTGTCCCTCACCTTGCTTTACCTCCTCGTTTTCGTGCCCCATCATGCCCCCCTAACTCTACTTTACTACCATAGCCAATTGACGGTCTTCTGATACAGTTCTCCTTCCCTCCTCTGTCCTCCCCTCCCGGCCCCCGCATGCCCCCACCACGGCCCTACTGGCCTTCCCTTCTCTCTGTCACGCCTCTCTCTTATTTTGATCACAAAAAGAAGGCTTTTCCACAACGTGTTACTGTACCCGCTGCAGAACACTGAGATGCCTAAAAGAAGGTATATAGCCTCCCTGAACCCTGAGATATCTCAAAAGGGGTAGCCATTTAGTTGTTGGGTTCTTCATCTTCTCCCACTCTCCCTGCACCCCACCCTCTCTTTCCCTTAACCTTATCCCCCCTTCATCCACCCCCAACCCCTATCTTTGGCACAACCTTTGATGAGCTGACGTCGCCCCGCCGTGCCACGACCAACACATGTGGCACCAGGAGCTTCATCTTCTCTCCCCTCCTGCCTCCTCCACCCCCCTTTCCCCCCCTCTCCCCGCTCCCCTCTCCTCCACCTAACTCCTCTCTTCGTTGGCAGGATCACCTTCCATGAGCTATCGTCGACCCGGCTCCCCACGACCAACACGCATGGCACCGGGTGCAGCATGGCCCCGAGTGTTGCTGCAGGCCTGGCACATGGGCAAGGGGTGAAGGAGGCAGTAGTGGTGAGTGCAGGAAGATGGGTGGAGAGTGGTGGAGAATGGTGTTGTACTGAGTGCAGGGGGGAGGGTGAAGCAGGCAGTTATGGTGTGCACTTATTTCCCAATATCCTTTGCCCCACCTTCTCCCCCGCTCTCTTTGCTTACCTTCCGTTCTCTCCTGCACACTTCCCCTCCCCCATTCCCCCCCTTCCCCCCCCTTCCCCCCCCTTCCCCTCCCCCATATCTCCCTCCTCTTCCCCCATTTCCCTACTCTGCCTGTTTAATGTGCCCCTTTTCCCCCCTCTTCGCGTTTCTCCTGCTTTTTCCCCCTTGCCCCACTTTCCCCCCTCCTTTTCCTCTCCTACATGTCTCCCCATTTCCCCCCTCCTCTCTTCCCGCATCCCCACCCTTCCCCTCTCCCCCACCCTAGGACGCCAAGCAGGCCCTCAGATTCACTTTAAGGGACGTTGATGCATCAGGGTCCCTGTGAACAAAACCCTGATTTTCAGTGTTCCTAAAAAAAAAACCCTGAATTTTCAGGGTTCCTAAAAATCAAAGCCTGAAGTTTCAAGCAAATGAAAACCATGTGTACTAGGAAAGGCTTGACGAATCATGTCAGCTGAGGGATTCGAACCGGGTCCTCACCTGTCAGTAGAAAATCACTAACCACTGAGACAGTTGATCCTCTAAACCGTCAATCTCTTACGTATTCGTACGTTAAATACCTAAAAATGTTGGTTGACAGGAAGGATTCGGAATGTGCATTCAGTGTACACTTCGATAAAAGACTGAAAAATCAGTGTCAACTATGAAATAAAGGCCCAAAAATCAGTGTCACAAAATTCTCAACACTGAAAAATCAGTGTAGGTACCAAAAAATCCCTGAAAATCAGGAATTTCAGGGAAAAATTCCTGATATCGTAGGGCCTGACGCCAAGGCCAACCTCCCCCACATCCTCGGTTCTACACTGTTCTAGATCTTGTGCCTACTCTGCCTCACTTGCTTACTGATTGAGTCTTGTACCGTGATCTATATGTATAATCCTGCATGCTTGCTCTTGCTAGATTGTGATAGCTGTACTGCTTGTTCTTTTATAACTCTGCATGGCAATTTGCCGGGACTGGCCAACCAGCCAGGCGGGATAAATTGTCAACGGGGAATTGCCACGCTTCTTAGATAGCGGGTTGCTCAACGTCTTCACAAACTGCAAAAGGAAATTAGCAAAGCAGTTGTTTAACTGCATTCTAGGGCATCACCATGCTCTTTTAGGAAACGGTTGCTCAACTGCTTGAGCAAATGTCTTGTTCCTCCTCTTGATAAAACCTGTACTGACATCGCTAGTAGACAGTGTTGAAAAGTAAACAGGGGTTGTCTATTATCCGAGTGTCTCTTACAAACATGCTAGCCTCATTATAAGACACCTATTTGTGTGTACGAGTTAAAGCCCGGGGTCGGTATGGTAAAATATCAAGTTATGTGGATTTGAAATAGGCTGTATGCGAGATCCGCGAAACCAATTTCGGTTGGCTGCCTTTGGCGAGAATAACTCTCCCCCGCAAACTAGTGAACATTTCGCACTCACCAAACCTGCGAATCCCACCAACCCAAAGCGACAAATGTGTCGCACACATCCCTCTCTTAGAGCATGGAAAGTGTGGCTCACTCGAAGTCTCCTCACCTCACCACTGAATCAGCTCGATGCTAACGGGAAGTAGAAAAACAGAGCAGCGCACGTGCTGGGTATCAACGCCACCTACTCAACGCCACAACAGAATCGTGTTCGGGACGATGCTGTGCCCAGATTACTAGCTTACCGACCATCGCAGGAGCTGGCAACAGCAAAGTGTAGGAACGTGCAAGCGCGATCGCACTTACGAGAAAAAAAAGTGACGACATACTAGAGACTACGGGAAGCTAGGAACAACAAGAAACCGGTAGTGTATTGGAGTCGTTGTTACTAGCCAGGGTGAAGAAATCGGACGTGATAGGGCTCTTTCACCAAGCGCCGAGCAGCACCCGCTCGTCGCATTTAGCTGCTCGCGTTTTGTGCGACGTGGAGCCCGCATTCCTCGCGACGCTGAGCCCGCATTCCTCGCGACGCTGAGCCCGCATTTCTCGCGACGCGGATCCCGCATTTCAGGCGAATCGGAGCCCGCCTTCCAGTCGACGCGGAGCCCGCGTTCCCCGTGACGCGGAGCCCACGTTCCCGGCGACGCAGAGCCCGCATTCAAGGCGACGAGCAGCGAGCGCTCTAGGTGACAGGGCTTGGGCCACCGCGCGCACAACTAAAGCGGATACTGCGCACTGACGGGGAGAAAAGGGCGGCACACGCCCCTACGGGTCACGAGAGAGGAGAGCCCAGGTGATTGCCCAATTCCCAGCATCCCAAAAATGTTTTCGAGGGTGTTGGCGTAGCGAAACATCTGGCTTACCATCCATCTCATTGGCGCTAATTGCAGGATACCACTGTGAGAGGGATGTGGATGAAACCCCATCGGATCAGGAGGTTGAAGTGGCAAACGCAATGATAAGAGATGCGGGGGAGTGGAGCGACAGTGGTGGATAGAAGGCCGTTACGATGGGGAGGAAGTGGAGCTATGGGTGGCAGGTCAGGATGAGTGAATGGGTTGTGTTTACTTCCCCATGATGCACCTGTGGTCTTTGATATGCCATGCTTGAGTGGGTTTAGTGGTCTTTCCCGTTCTGTCCTAAACCTAGTCATGCTAGGATGCATCTACGATCGTCACAATCTGCATAGCGACACATTGAATGGCCGCATGCACATATTATAGTATTCATAGACAATTTAGGCAGTTGGAAGTGAGGATAGAGTTAGCCTTATGAAATGCCAATCTATGCTAATGCCAACCCCTTTAGCAACCAGTGCTGTCGCCATCTGTATGGAGTTATGGTCCTCATGCTTCCGTAAGCATAAACATGCGCGTGCGCCCACCCTTCTCCTTGCTAATGTGAATGCACTCCAGATAGGTCTGGAATAAGAAGGGAAGTCAAGAGAGCACAGGGCATGGGGAACGTGAGCTCATTCCAAAGTCTGCTGAGCTGCCCCCTAGTTGCACCTGCGCCCTCCCTCCTCCTTACGGATGTGAATGAACGCCAAATAGCCTTGCAAGGAGTCAGGTGGAGGCAGGAAGAGGGGGTGAATAGAAAATGAGCTTGTTCCCAACTCTGTTGCGCTGCCCCCTTGTTGCGCGTGGGATGAAGAGGAAAGGCACATGGGGAGGGGGAGGAGAGGCACATGGGGAGGGGGAGGAGAGGCACATGGGGAGGGGGAGGAGAGGCACATGGGGGGAAGCAGGGCGGAGGGAGGGGGGAAGCAGGGCGGAGGGAGGGGGGAAGCAAGGGGGAGGGAGGGGGGAAGCAGGGAGGAGGGAGGGGTGAAGCAGGCAGTAGGCAGGGGGGAAGCTGGGAGGAGGGAGGGGGGAAGCTGGGAGGAGGGAGGGGGGAAGCTGGGAGGAGGGAGGGGGGAAGCTGGGAGGAGGGAGGGGGGAAGTTGGGAGGAGGGAGGGGGGAAGCTGGGAGGAGGGAGTGGGGAAGATGGGAGGAGGGAGGGGGGAAGCTGGGAGGAGGGAGGGGGGAAGCTGGGAGGAGGGAGGGGAGAAACAGATGAGGCAAAGGACAATGGATTGGGCGGTAAACCCGCTCTCACCTCTGGCTCTCACTCTCTGCCCTTCCCCCTCCCTCCCCCTCCATCCTTCCCATTCTGTCTCTCCCTCTCGTCCCTTTGCCCTCTGTCTATCCACCTCTGTCCTTCCCCTTCTGTCTCTCCCCCTCTGCCCTCCCCCCTGTTCCTCCCCCCTCTGTCTCTCCCCCTTTGTCCTTCCCCCTCTCCCCCTTTTCCTTATCCTTGTGACCTTCCCATCTCCCCAGCCCGTTCCCTTCCTGTCCACCGCCCATCAATCAAGCTTTCAATGTGACACCATCCCCCCCTCAGCTGGTCATCCCCCTCTGTCCCTCCCTTTCTGCCCATCACATCAGTAGGCTAAACCCTGCGGCTGGACGGAGCAAGGGCGTATGAGGGAGATGCTACACACGATGGTGTCGACGGCGACGTGGGTAGGGGTTGGCACTTACGACAAACGCCATCCAATTGGGGTGGCGGAGGCGACGACAGGAGGCGAGGGCCAGGCAGCAGCAACTGGGGCAACGACGCATGCGCGTGACGTCGGCTTCAGCTATTGATCTACGGAAGATCGCGACTGAATGATTGAGCGCGTGACGAGGGGAGCAGGGCGTTTGCCGAAGGGAAGCGCGCGTTACGGGCGTGGGAGGATAGCGGGTATCAAGGGGAAACGCGCGGGAGGAGAGGGCACATCGAGGGGAAGCGAGCGTGACGCGAAGGCGCGTGCGCGACTGGCGGAAATGCGCGCGACGAAGGGAAACGGATGACGAGCAGAAGCACGGAATCCCGGGCAAGCGCGAGTGACGAGGGAGGGCGCGGGTGGCGAGGGAGGGCGCGGGTGGCGAGGGCGGGCGCGGGTGGCGAGGGAGAGCGTGCGTGAATACGCGCGCTAAACGTGGGGTAGCATGGTGAAGCACTCGTTTGACTGTCACGTTCCGTGTGAGTAACGCGACAACGTATGTAAATAGTGGGTGACTCTAGGCGCCTGCTGCCCAGCTATTGGCAAGACAGCATGTGTGCCTTGGGAGTTGCTGTAAATGTCGCGGCTCCTAAAACTAGTGCAAGGCGCACAGGCTGTCTACTTAGGTGAGGGAGTAGGCAGTTCATGAGTACGACTAGGTGTTCAAGATATGTGAGAGCCAAACAGTGGACCAACCTGGGCGACGTTCGGTTCTTTTTTGCGACTCTGCTCAAAAGCCAATGAGGAGAGAGTGTCGCTCGGCGTTGTCCCAGGGTCGCGATTTTTGACAGAGAAATACACTTAGTCCGCGGTATTTTAATCGGCGCTATCTTAACCACGCGAGGGTACTTCTCCTTTATCAAACTTATTTAGTCGGGTTGTTTCAAACTTTACGAGGGTAGAATCTAGCATTCCCTTCGCGAGATGACAGCAGAAAAAACTCAGTGAATGCCGAGTGTGACAAATGTCAATCCGTCTATCTTGGAGCACTAAGTGTGAGTTCCTTAGACGGAAGTGCTTTCGGCTGCAGAATCGTAGCCTCGATGACTCTGGGTGCTAGTAACATTACCCAGAAACGAACAAAGGGGGTTTGAAAGAACAAAGTTCACCTGGTTAAAATACCGCGGACTAGGTGTAGGGTAGCCCTGTTTTTTACGAATTCAAGTTCAAGAATCTTGAACTTGAAAAAAACCATGCTGTACTTGGGCTTTAAGCCAGTGTGAGGGTTAGGGGCAATTGTATAACGAGGGGGCTTCTTCTAAACAGTTCTTTGTCCATTTATAAGACTTTCAAGACACCCAGATACAAGATAACCCAAGCATTTTTCCTAGTGTACGAGATAAGACATATATGTCTTATATCCGAGTGATGACGGTATTCAAATTTGTCAAGACAAATGCATACTGACTCCTCCGATGAACACCCATGACCTCTCATGTGATTCCAATGTAGTACTCATGCTGTTGCCGCTGCTGACCACCCCCAGAACCACCGCGCCCACTTGTGGCACCGCCTGCGGGAGCAGACGTACAGGTACCTACACTCGCCTCCTCGACCAGCGGTTGCACCTCCCCTAACAACGGACGCCGCTACTGTAGTGGTCGGGTGGCAGGAGTGAGGGAGGAGTAGTGTCTACGAACAGCGTCGAACATAGATGGGCCGACGTCACGTGTCGAAAGTGGTTCCTCTGGTCGACCGGCAGGAGAGCTCGGATGGCACGTTGTGCGACAGCGTCGCGCTTCGTCTGCTGACTGTAGGCAAGGCTGTCCGGCCGGAACCGCCACTGCACGTCCTCGCCAAGCTCAGTGGGAGTCGTGGGGGCCAGAAGGGACCCCGACGTGTGCTCGAGTAGGGAGACGCCATCTCTAATGAAGCGACAAAGATGCACGCGCAGTCACGTAAGCCACAAGCCTAACCTGTACGGGCGTCCGTCGGTGTCAACCCCCAAGACCGGCGGCGTTGCCATGACGAGCAGTGGCAGTCAGCAGCAGAGATGGCAGCAGCTGTTGCAGTGGGAGGTGCTGCGACCATGGTTGCTATGGTGGCTAGGGCAGTGCGCGGGCAGCTAGGGCAGTGCGCTGGCGTCTAAGGCAGCGCGCGGGCAGCAGGGTGTGCGGGGCGCATAGGCTGCAGGGCGCGCGGGGCAGCAAGGCGCGCGGGGCAAGGTTGGGCGCGCGGGGCATGGACGGCGCAGGTGTGCGGGCTGCAAGGCAGCGCGGGCAGGGCGCGTTGGCAGCAGGCGACGCGGGCTGCAGGGCGCGCGGGCAGGAGGGCGAAGCGGGCTGCAGGGCGCGCGGGCAGGAGGGCGACGCGGGCTGCAGGGCGTGCGAGCTGCAGGGCACGCGGGCTGCAGGGCAACGCGGGCAGGGCAGTGCGTGATGCAGAGCGCACGGGGCACGGGCAGCAGAGCGTACGAGGGCAGCAGAGGCGTGTGCGGGCTGCAGGACGCGTGGGGCGCGGGCGACAGAGCGCGCGGGCAGGTTGTGGGGAGTGCGGGGAGCAGGGCAGGTGTGAACGCATGGGACAGGGCGGCTCTAGCGGGCGGCCGGGTCGCGATTGCTAGGGGCAGGGCAGAAAAAACGGGCAGGTAAGAACGAACGGTGGGCCCTAAAAAAAATCCAATCCTAGGGATCTACGTGCTCTGAAATCATGTCAGAATCATGAGGCATGAATAATGGACTAGAATGGATGAAGAGTACAAGTAGCCTTAACCCTAATGGGTTGTCCTCAGTAAAGTGTACCCCATTATAGCCTAAACAACATGTAAAGCATTTTGACACTTCCAGTTATACAACGGTTTTTACCGTTTGAAAAACGGAGTAAGCGGATTGTACTTGTAGTGAAATCATTCCACAAAGCGATGTGACTTTCGCGCGACGTTTTCTGTTCGCTCCGACAGAAAAGACACGCCTCGAGATATAGTTTTTCAATTGAATCCCGTCTGCGTTTCTTGGGGGTTCTGATAATTGGACGTGCGTGATACAAGCCCCCTCCCCATATTATGGACTTGGGGGTTTCTATTCATGGTGATGTCTACTATCCAAGTGATTACAGTTTGCTTTATCAGAGTAGGTACACGAATCATTTGAAAGCGTGCGAAATAACATCGATAAGTCAGACCCAGCAGCAAAAAGTTGCCGGATAAATACTAGGATTGCTACCGTAGGCCTTGATCACACCATGGCACGAACTGACATACATTGAGAAAATAGCACAACACACTTATCTAGCGTGGCACACATATGAACTTTGATCCAACCTTCCCGGCACAGGCTTTGCCATTGTAGACAGAAAAATCTGTAGCTGCTTGGCTCATTGTGCCATCATAGTAGCTGTAAGCACCGGAACAAGTCAGCGATGGCGACACATTCTTGGGACGGCCCTTGGTGCATCTGCCGAGTTGAAATGACCAGTATTCCGCTTTCAGGCACACCTGGGAGTGCAAGACGGGCAGAGAGTACAAAGGTGATAGGGGGGTGGAAGCTAAACAGGGAAGGACAAGGTAGATGGAAGGAGTGAGACATGGGCACAGTGTAGAATGATGGCAGAGGGAATGAGGACTTGATGAATGTAAAGATAAAAAAGTAGGTGTTTACTCATGGCTTCACAACTCCAACCCCCGCATTTTCATGTCTGCTTACTCAACATCCAATCTCCCATCCACATTGCTTGCTTGTTAGCGAACAGAGCATCCTTTATTTTTCCCCCCTTCCACCCCTCACCTGCACACCAGCATTGCTGCCAACAGCTAAGGAAGAGCCAGGAATGGTGCTGGCACAGACAAGACCGGGATTGTTGCGGTACAGCTCAGCCCAGTTGGATGGATTGTTCTGCAATCCCAACCCCTGCAGCAGCCGCTCACACGTGTCCTGCGCTGTGAGCGTGGCATATTTCACACACTCAGGGACGCTGTAGGCGTAAGTCTCGTTGCGCTCCACACAGATAGAGCGGCCAGGCTTGATGGTTTGCGTGCAGTCAAGGCCGGGGTTGAGGTCCATAAGATCGTCTCTTGTGAGGCGAACAGAATCCGCGATGGAGACACATGTGTCACCCTGCAACGTTAAGGGAGGATGGAAGGGGGCGAGAGATGAGTTAAAGCCTGCTCATAAGGAATCTGGAGTTTGCGCGTTTTGATGATGAATAGGCAGAAAGATGTTCTGTGAAGGCTTTGTGCGTGCAATGCGAATTTGATGCACTGAACCTGAAACAGGGAGGATGATGTGAGGATTAAACAGAGGTTGACATTGGGTTCATGAAACGTCAGTCAGGGGCACCAGAGCTCACACTGAGACTGTAGAAGTAGGCAGTGCAGGGGATGGCAGGAGTATCAATGAGCTGAATCACTGTCCCTCTAGGCAAGGCATTGGTGCACACAAGTGCCTGCGTGATCAAGTATAGGCATCGGGGGTGTTCAGAGATTTCAGAAGCACAGACGTAGAGGGAAGGGAATAAAGCATGCGCATAGTGGCTAGTTCCGCAGGCTGACTCTAGTTCCATCCCTCCCAGCCCATCGTATGTATGCTGCCTGTGCCATTTGGCCAGAAAAGAAGGCTAATCAGCATAGTAGATCCTTCTACCCATGTGCATTTCCCCTTCCCTTCCTATGTGTGTACCAATGGAGCCAAGATTTTCTCCTATGCCTTCCCCTCTCAACTCCTCCTACCCTTCCCATGTAACAGACAGGATCTTCCCACCATGTTGCGCAGAGTAGACATATAGCAGGAGAGGGCCTGGAGGTGAGTAGTGAAGAGCCTCTTGGGTTAACCCAGGTAACAGTAACAGACACATTCTGATCGACACTAGTGCCACCCTTACAATCTCTTCTCACCGGGTTCTGCTGAATGAACTGCGCATACAAGAGTCCTGCGAGGGGATACACGTCTGAGCAGAACCAGTTGTCACCGATCACAGTCATGTTGGTGGCTGTGGTGTTGGCTGGAGGAGACAAGGGGTGTTGGAGAGAGGGGAGGTGGGAACATGAAGGAGTTAGGGTGAGATTAGTTGAGTAGAGTGTACTTCAGGGAAGGAGCCTGGCCGAAAGTGGGAAGGAGAAAGGGACGTATGTGGCTACCTGCACCAGTGCTCTGCCTATGTGGCCTCGTGTATGAAGAATTCTCAAAAGTAACTCTTTCTCAAAACGCTTCTTCATACACGTACCTGCACCAGTGCTCTGCCCATGTGGCTTTTTCTCCAAGTGCCTCACAAGCCTTCAACTGGTGATAGTAAGCTGCATTGCAGCATGATAGTAGCAGCAAGATCGATTTATTCCAACTTAGAGTACTGTTCTCAGAGTAGGAAAATGGGGATGGAGTTGTTGGAGAAAAGGAGATGCAGATGAAGGTGGTGTTGGTGGGTGCAGCAGCACCTGGGTCGCAGGTGGGGAACTTGTCGATGGTTGTGCTGTTCACATAGTTGGGAGGGCAGATGCAGGAGTAGGCGCCCTTGCCATTATTGATGCATGTGCCGACGGTGCAAGGGTTCTTGAAGTACGACCCACACACGTCCACTGATGAAAAAAGTGGAGGACGCAAGAGGGAGAGGTGGGAGACGATGGGTGGAGGCATTGAGTTCTTCATTTGGATAAATAGCAACAGGAAATGAGGGTTTCCTTTCAAACCTTGCTAAAATGGGCCCAAAGTTGGTCCCAGTGGACTCAAACTGGTTAGGCAGGTTCAATAAGAACCCTCTTTGGTTCAGTTTGATGTTGACAGTCACCAGTTTCAGTTTGAAACCAAGTTTGATGTTGATAGAAACCATGGTTCAGTTTGAAGCGAACCGGTTCTCTTCAAACCAAACCACTGTTACAATCAACCATGTCTGGTATTGCTCTAAGACCTTCTCTCTGGATTACAAAAGGCTGCTAACAAAGGTCGGGGCAGCTTACACATAATTTCAAGGTTTCTTTTCACAGCACAATACAGGAAAACACTATTCAAACGTGACTTGACTCACCATAAGCACAGGTGTTTCCATAGCCATTCACAGCCTCAACAAAGGGCTGCTTGGTCTGAGCCGGAAGTGAGCAGGTGCATGTGTTACTGTTGGTCTTGGTGATGGGCTTGCAGGTGAAGCGACCGCACGGGTTCATGCTGGGCTGCAGATCTCCATCGCCTTTGTAGCTCTTCAAGCCACACGGGTCCCCCGGAACTGGAAGAAACAAAAGGGAAACGTGGGAAACATGGGAAATAAAATCGGACATTAGACAGCACAGGTAACAAGGAAACAGGAAGCATTAGAAGGCAGAAATAGAAGTTGAAAATCTAACTTGGTGTCATAGACACCTCCCTCTTGACAATGGGATAGACGCCTAACTGCTGATTATGGGTTAGCTTAATGGCCAGTTGTTGAGCATGGGTGAGATGAGCCAATATTGGCTATGAGGTAGCATGTTACTCTTGACAATGTGATTTGCCCTGATAACCGTACCATGGGTCTGGTTCTATTTATTCACTCATGTTAATGGGGATAGATGCATTACTCTTGACAATGGGGTAGATGCCAGGCAGCACGTTGATGCCACACACGCCATCCCCTCCCTGAATGTCCATTCGCATGTGGCCCCTGTCTCCCCACTCCTCGCCCCACGAGTTGCGGACGATCCAAAATGGGGGTGCAATGCGGTTCTCACTCCCATCATTTCTCAAAACGAAGTAGCCAACAACGAGTACAACGTGGTTAAGGTTGCCGGTATAGCAGCCAGGGTCCTGGTACTTGAAGGTCTGGAGACACAAGGGCAAACAAAAAAAGTGTAATGTAGAAAATGATGTGTACATGAGGTGTACAAGCCTCACAAAGGTGAATGATACCAGCAGATAAAGAACCCAGAAAACACATCAAATACAATAAACTGCATGCAACATGTCTAGAGCATGTTAATTTGCAAATCACACACTGAACATTCCCAACACACAATGTACGTGCACAAAACACTCAAACTACTCCGAACAATTTCTATACGATTTTCAACACACTTACTGAAAATGCAAAGCCAGAACTCACCCCATCATATTTGGTGAACGATACAGCAGAGGCTTCGATGTGAACCACCACTGGCTGCCGCTGCACTGCCAGCATGAGCCCGACATACCCCTTAAAGGCAGTGCGCTCAAATCCCTGAACGGGGTATGTTACTTTCTGAAAGTCGAACGAGTACATGATGTGAAGTTGGTAATGGGAGTGCATACTCAATAGAGAGGATAAAATGGCATCATCAATAGAACAAATGTAATGCTGTTAATGGCTAGTAGGCTAAAACATAGTCTACACTCGACACCACATTTGACTACACAGGTTGAGCAGTAACCAAACGGGGCAAATACGGGCCACGCAGTAAAATATTGATGGCACTCTTAGCATGCGAGTTTACAGTGTGATATTTACAAGTTCAACATCAGAAGAGCCAAGAACGCGAAAGTAAGGGCAGGTCTGTGTTCCGGTAGACCCCAGAAATTGTTTTTCAGTGACATCTGGAGAGATATAAGAGCAAAATTCGCTTGACTGATTTGAAAATTATAGCAACCTCTGAGAACAAAATTCGTTTGACTGCCATAAGAGAACGAGAAATCGTTTGACTGACTTAAACATTATAGCAACCTCTGAGACAACTCAGAACTCGTAAGCTTCCAGTACTCAATCTCACTCTTGCACACAGGTAATCACGTCAATGCTTCTCGTACCTACGTTGCCACAAAGATATTGTCATCTCATTCATTCCATTCCATACTTGCATCATCAGCCATCTTTCGGCTTCATCTTACCCCACAACACAACGGCACTCCCTTACATGCATCAAGTACGATCATCGCCTCACAACTTCCCACACTCTCTCACCCTCATTGCTCGTGACATACCAGATTGCCTTCAATGTTGAGTCCCCCTTTAGGCAGAGCCAGCAGCTTCTCAAAGGCTTCAGTCGGGGAGCCTCCAGCAGTGCACCTGTCTGCCTGGGAGGTGAGGTTCATGGCTGTAAAGAGCGAGTCCACTGACAGCTTCGGCGCCTCTAGATATGTTGCAATGCCGTACGCTGCTTCTATGCTTGACACCACTGCGAACGCCCAGCATGCGTCTGAGGGAGAGGGCATGGAACAATCACAAGGTGAGTCTTTATCTGGTAGCTTCTGTGGGAGTGGATTTGGGAAGAAAAAAGATGCCAAAAGCCGGTGAACAGGTAAGAAGTTGGAGTTGATGCCAACAAAACACCGGAACAGGGAACCAGAAGCACCGGAAGAAACATTCACAACAAAACAGAAGAACAGATATGGTATGGCATAGACAGGCCTGCTCTTAGTAACAACACGTCTTCGCCCACTTAAGTCTACCAGGCAATCCATTGGCGTAGCACTCACTGCAGTCGTCCTGGTCCTTTACGGGCCAGCCGAGGAAGGGCACGGAGTCCCAGGAGTGGAGGTCCCTGAAGACCCACGAGTCCTTCTGCCCGGCCGACACTCGGTAGTCCGCACTCACATAGCGCGGGAAGGGGCTCGCCCGTGCAGGCACAAACGTGTTCACTGCTATGGTTAAACCGTACGCTGCAGTGTAGCAAGTATAGGCAGGTGGTGAGTAGAGGGGTGGGAGAGGACATGACGTCATGAAAGACGGAGAAAGTGTAGATGCTTAGAGCAGGTGTGAGTGAGAAGAGAATGAAGCAGCTCACTAGGTAGAGTGTAGCCTGTGGGTCTAAATATAGTGAGGAGAAGTCAAAAGAAAGAAAGTACATGCTTTTTGAGAAACTTCAAGGAATGAAACATGAGCATGGGCCAGGCCGGCGGCCGCGCCAATCTGGGCGGGTTTTAGGTGGGCCCAAAACTCTGCTTTTCTAGAGCAAGTTCGTTCCATCTACCTGCATAGTAATATTTACTTGCGCTGAGTTATGAATATGAGTTAGCCGAGGAATGTGACCGTAGAGAAGGCCAGGCCTGAACCAGTCTGGGCATCCCAACAGGTTTTGTTGGGCAGAGGGCCAACAACTTTTCTGTGCCGCTTTGATATGGGCCTGCCCAGGCCTACCCAGGCCTGCCCTGGCCTGGTTCATGAAGTGCCCATGGGCAGGTGAAAAAATTATGCTAGATTCTGTGTTAACAACGGGTGTGCAATGTCTTGCCTGGATTGATGTTGACAGTTCCCCGTGCAGGAGGAGCGTCTGGAGCAAGAAAAAAAGGCAACATGAAAGGGAAAATTACACAGATCAATTAAGGTTCTGGGGTAGGATACGACTAGTGTCCAGAAAGGTGCAATACACGAGTACAGTTTTTCATAACAATGTGTGGAGCAAGGTAAACTGATGGAGCCTAAGGGTCTGAGACATCGAAGCATTGCGTACATTCCCCAGCACATCACTAGTGGCACAGAACAAACAGTTGCCTCTGCACAGCACAGGTCATAGCTGACGATTGCACGAGCAGCGTAAGGGTTCTGGTTCCTTAGGAAACATGGAATCTCTCTGATCAAGGGCCAGCTCCTCACCTGTATGCGGGGCAGACATCTCTCTACACAATCAAAGGAGGGAGCTACCAGCTTCCCACCTGTGCCCTGGGCAGATGTGAAGATGGCACCCACCTGTGCGCTGTGCAGGGAAGAGCTGACCATACAGTACATCCATGCGATCTCTCTGCACAATCTAGAGGGAGAGAGCTACCGGCTGCTCACCTGTGAGCAGGGCAGAGGTGAGGAGGGCTGCTCACCTGTGCGCAGGGCAGAGATAAGTATGGTTTGAATCATGAACGGCTTTACTGTGGTGGACGCCACGAAGCCAAAGTAGAACGCCCGCGGCCGCTGCTGCTCCACCTGCTCTGCCTGCGGCGGCCCCGGTTGCAGCAATGCACACAGCGACAGCCGCCTTTCTAGCAGCGGCTTAGCCGGCTTTACTGTTGTGTTTGACAGGTAAACAAGGATGGTGCCAGGGTCTCCTGGCACATAGTCCACCCATGCTGTGTATGCCTTCTTGTCGGTCAGCATGAATGGTGATTTCACAGCGGCGATTGATTTGTCCTGGCCCTGAATGTTCAGCCCCACGTGCTGGTCTTTCATGTCTAAATGAGGCTTTGTCTGAAGTACGTCAAACTCAATAGCCATGCTTCGGGTGTTCATCCCACCATACCCCACCCCAGCATCGCTGCCCACTGTGTTGTTTGCCGAGACGACAAAGGCAAAGCCGTTTGAAACCGCTTTGCCCTTGGGTGAGAGCGTGAAGGTGAAGTTGACACTGAAGGCCAGCTCAAACCCGCACCCCGGGTTTTCCCGCCCTTTCTCGTACACAAACAGGGGCACCGGATCAGAAGTGAACGTCCCTTTTTTTTCTTTCTTCGTTCCTGTAGTCAACACAGTTGACGGCGGGAGAATTGCCTTTTCAAGCGGAGCAGCAATGACCGTTTCTGGAGGAAAGGTGGGGGGATGGGCAAGAGCACAAAAGGAGAGGAAATATGGCCAGGTTAGAGATTGAAGGCTGGACAGCTAGAGGGATGGTGTGAATGGATGACATGACATGACAGCACACGTGGGTTTGCAGGCAATATCTCTGATAGTCGCACCCCCCCACATCCACACCTATGGACGCACAATCACATGAGCGCTGATTCACATGCACCTTCTGTCACGCATGTGCAGCTCTCTTGTGTGCATGTGCAGCTCACTTGTGTGCATGTGCAGCTCTCTTGTGTGCATGTGCAGCTCTCTTGTGTGCATGTGCAGCTCTCTTCTGTGCATGTGCAACTCTCTTGTGTGCATGCGTGGCCATGTGAATCTGCGCGTGTGCAGCTCTGTTCTGCCTCCTTTGCACAAGCAAATTGAGCAATTCATAGCCTCGTTTACCATCGACAAGACAGTAAGTCCCTCGAAATGTGTAGAACCCTGCATCGCACGAGCACGTAGGCACCAAGTTGGGCCCGTCGGGATAGCACACTCCATGACCGCTGCAACGAGCAGAGGTAGAGCCAATGGCGATGCCGCAAAACGCCCGGCATGCTGACTGGGGGCGCTGCACTGGTGAGGTTTCCCCATCAGGCAGTTTGAAGCAGTTAGCATCTAGCGCGTCGGGCTGTTGTTGAAGCAGCACGCCCGAGAGGTAGTTGAATGAGAGCACAGCCAGCACGTTGGCAGGCTTCACAAGGGCGCCAGTGAAATAGTTGTTGGAGAGGTCACTGTGAGGGGGAGGGGGAGAGAATTCGTGGGAAAAAAGACGTACAAACATCGGTGCACAAGAGAGCAACGATATAAAATCTGCTCTCAGGGGCAGATGACAGGGTCTGAAAATTTGAAGTCGTCTCAGTTTATTCGAAGGCGGCAATATGAGGACAGGGGCAGAGACACCGTGTCTAATGTTCAGTGCACCCAAAGCGACATTTCAAGATAAAACAGTCCTGTGGCTTTGATCCAAAAGCGACATTTCACCGTGTTTTCTGCAGTGGGTCGGCAGCATGCTCCAATGTGTGGGGGATGTAGTAACTTGATTTTTGAGTCGACTCAAAAATCGACTTACTACACGGGGATGTGTGTGAGGCTGTGTATCAATGTTATGTGGATAAGTAAGAATGTCAGTCAGATATCCTTGCTTGTGAAAGTATAAGGTTGTTTGCTTACAAGGTTTTGAGTTTTGTGAGCAAGGTGACTGTGTCAGGTATGCGTCCAAAAAACAGGTTGTTGGCGAGAGACCTGAACGTATGGTGAAGGCATGGTGCATAAAAGGGTGTATGCTTTGGGCATGTTATTCATCAAGTGGCAGGCTCAGGTGGACAAGGGAAGGAGGATAGGAGAGTAGAGGAGAGAGGAGATGTCGATAGGAAAGGATAGTGGAGGAGAGTGGAGAAGAGGAGAGGAAAGGAGAGGAGATCAGAGGAGATGAGACGTCACTAGACAAGAAGTGACAGCAGCAGGTGGTGAGAGACATAGGGAGGGTACGAATACAAATGGTGCTAGTCAAGTGTAAGCAGTATATGATATACATGGAGAGAATCTATTGGCTAATGCGGCGGTTGCAAGCCAGGAATGTCTGCAGCCTTACACTATTACCACACATGAACCCATGTGTATATATGTCTCAGCTCACAACCCCTCAACGTATCACATACGCTTACCGTCTTCACACCTAATAGATCCTTGATACGATTCATCCAGCATAACATGCTTATCTTGTGCAAAAAAAAAATCACTCACAAATTTCTGAAATTGGCAAGGTTGCCAATTGCAGTTGGAATCGATCCAGTAAGTTTGTTCCTGTCAAGCCACCTGCATAGGCACATGGATAGCCATGTTGAAAGTAAGCTGTGGTGACAGCAAGCCATGGTGACAGCAAGCCATGGTGACAGCAAGCCATGGTGACCGCACGCCATGGTTGCAGCAAGCCATGGTGACAGTAGGCCATGGTGACAGCAAGCCCTGGTTAGAGCTGTGGAGTTTTTGACGAATGTAAATTTTGGACGGATGGGGTTTCGCCTTACAGCTCCTGGAGACTCGTAATTGAGAAGAGGCTTGCTTGAAAGGACCCAGTAAGGTCGTTAAGCCTCAGATCCCTGCCAGCCATGCCGAGAGCAAAATGATTGCACGATGAGAGACTGGTTGCTAAGAAAAGCAGCAAATGCAGCAGGCCTTGCTTTGATTGCACGTTGGCCGAGTCAGTCTCTGGCACATTAGGATAGACCCCAGAAGGTGGCTGGGAAGGGAGTGAGGGAATGGCGCACAGGAAGCAGCAATGGAGTACAAGTGTTTTTCCCAGAAAGTGGAGGGTACACAGGGAGCACGTGCTACAAGTAATGAACGGGGATGTGAGATAAGAGAAATTGTCAAGGAGAAGGAAGGAATGAGTGACCACGAGGGTAGAGTGGTCGACGAGTCAGGTGCGAGTGGGGAAGGGGACAAGAACCTGAATACTAGGGCTGCTAGGTGGTTCAGGGGGGCTTACAGGTACACGAGATTGGTTAAGGAACTCAATTCCACTGGGATGGAACCTGACAGCTTGTTGAAGGCTAATTTCCTGTTATCAATAGGGGCAAATGATTGTTTTGTTAAATGTGAGGTATATGAGAACAGAGTAGGTGTAATCATGCTGCTTTACAAGTTACGCTGGTGATGACCGTACGGTTGTGAACCCTAAGGGGTAGCTACTAGCTAGCACACAATATGGAGAGATTGATTATTAAATGAAACAGCAGAATTAGCAGCTGCTACAGGGGAATGGATGGTGGAACTGGTGGTGGCAGCAGCAGCTGAAGAATTAGCAGCAGCTACAGAAGCAGCACAAAAGAACAGTGTTAGAAGCAGCAGCTGAAGCAGCAGCAGCAGCAGCAGCAGCAGCAGCAGCAGCAGCAGCAGCAGCAGCAGCAGCAGCACTAGCAGCAGCAGCAGCAGCAGCAGCAGCAGCATTAGAAACAGTACGAGTGTAAGCAAGACCAGAAACAACACCTAGAGTGGTAACAAAAGGGTCAAGCGGCAGCAGCATGACATGGATCGTAAGAATGATACCGCATTCAGTAGGGAATGCAAGGTTGGAATGCTGGTGCTTACAGTCTCAACAGCTGCCTCAAATTGGCAAGGGATGTAGGGATGGGCCCAGAGAACTGGTTGCGAGAAAGGTCTCTGGAGATGAATGGGAGAAATGGGGGACGGATGGATAATTGGAGTGATGGAGAGTTGGATTGATGGATAACATTAGTGAGTTGAGATGACAGAATTGTATGTAATATGGCTGAGTTAATGCGATGCTGCAGAGATGGTTATTGATGGCTTGGATTGAAGTTTGAGCAGAAGATTGGGCAGGATTGAGTACAAGGACAAGCCGGGCCAGGATGGCTGGCCTTTAAGCTGGACAATTCTTGCCTTGCCCATGAACGATCCAAAAGGCATCAGAACCCCAAGCCAAGCCCAGCACAAACACAGCTGGCTCGGTTGAACATCATGTACCCATCAGCAAGTTGGTCAAGAAAACTTGGCTCGCAAGTAGGCTAAGCAGAAGCGTCACTGGTTATGGCATTGTTAATGTCACATTGGGTAACACAGAAGACACCAAAATTCTTTTTCGAGCAAAATATCACTTTCTCTATTCGGAGGAGAATGCACAAGTGGATCCTCAAAACTATACTCGTCTCTTTGAAGCATCAAGTCCTATGCTACTAGGACTTACAGAATTTCCAGGTTTGTAAGGGAGCTGATTGCTGAGAGGATCGAGTCATTCAGCTGATTGCCCCTTAGAGACCTGAAATTATTTTTGGAAATGCGTTAAGAACACATAAAGTAATACACAGGCCAGTGTGGAGGAGGATTCACAATGGTTAATGAGTATTATGTTGCAAGGATAAAACAGGGATTCAAGGAGGATGAAATAGCATCCTTTACTGAGTATTAGTTGCACATGGAATAGGGCACAGGGAAGAAGGGGAGGAGAGAAGGATCAAGCAAAATAAAAAATAAATAAAAAAGAGAGAAGGTAGAGCAATGAAGGGGAGACGAGGAAAATGAGTAAAGCACATCTGATAGCTATGAAAAAGCCATACAGCTCTTTCAAAGGTGTCAGTGAAAATATGCCGGTAGGGATAGCCCCAGTGATTTGAATGTAGTTGAGGTTCCTGCAGTTTAGTAATGGAAACGACCAGGAATGAGAGAGAGACAATATTAGCACCAGAGAGGTGCAGGGAGCAAAACTTTGATTCGCTTCACAGGCTAACACAGCAACTACGGGAATGAAATGACGTATCTCATTCACAAGTATTTGCTTTTCACAAGCGCCAAGACTAATCATCACTGCTGTATCTTACAAGTGTTGCAGTTGAGTGAGTGCTGAAAAGCTAGATGGAATGGCGCCTGGTAGCTCGTTGGAAGAAAGATCACTGGTGGGAAGCAATATTACAAAGTAGAATGGTGAGTGGATAGAATCGATAGCCAGCTGTAAGCTGATATGGTAGAGCTCACATGGAAGGAAAGTTGCTGAAACATTCTATCGAGAGAATGATTGAGGAAACAGGGAGACGTTGAATGGTGGGGTTGGATAAAGAAACAGTGTACGTTACTTCAACTAAAATGCCTTACAGGGTTGACAATCTTGTAAGGGTTCCAACAGCAGTAGGAATTGAGCCAGTGAGCTTATTGTAACCTAGAGACCTGTAGTGAGGGTCGTGAAGGAGACAATGGGGGAATACGAGTTTATTTAAGCTGGAGAAAGTAAAGCTCGCGCAAGAAGGAAGAGCATGTAAAAAAAGCAGCTAGTAAGCCTGTATATTGAAGGCCTCATAGCTTGTACAGTTGAACGACCTGGAACATGATTTTCGAGTGAGCAGAGCCAACAGCAAAGGGCTGGCTGGGGTAGAATCAGTGTACATTCATAAGTGTGACTTCAATGTAGGATGATTGCAGAGTCTAGTATTTATGCCACTCACCCATCATTTGCCTGGTTTGAATCAAGATGCCATTTACTTATCCACTAGGTCTTTCTCTTCTCCAGAACTCTCACTGCAAGGCTTCACTGTGAAGCCCACCCGGTGCTTCACAGTGGGTATGTTATGCGAGTATAGCGTTGAAGATCCCTCACAGGAACGTCAAAGTCGTTGCTGCTATAACATTAGGGATAGAGCCGATGAGCTGGTTGTAATGGAGACTCCTGGAGAGACACGTGTTGGAAATACATGTAGGAGCACAAGTTGGAAACACGTGTTAGTAATCCATACTGGAAAGACATGGTGGAAACACACGTGGGGTGTAATAAAGTGTTTCTCCGAATGTTGGATTTGCATGTTGGGATTACATGCAGCAGATACATGGAGAGGGTGAACAGACTCAAAAATAGACCCACTACATGCAGCAGACACATTGAGAGGGTGCACAGAGTACCATAATGGGTGGGCAGTAATTTGCATACCGTTATACGGATGGCACAACATAGTTGTGACTGGGATAGCATTCCAATATTTACACACAAGCCATGACCATCGCCTACATGCCTCAACAGTACTGAGGGGTATTATCATGTTCAACCTTCCTAAACAAATTATTGGATAAGAAGGATTCAAGGAGAAGAGACTCAAAGCAACGAGGGGGGAGCGTTTACAGATCTTCCAGTCGTGGAAGTGAGAAAATTTCAGCAGGGATTGAGCCTGTGAGTTGATTGACAGCCAAATTTCTGAGTAACGGAGTAGTGATACACGGTACAAGGAAGGGAAGACGAGGGTGGAAATAAATGCGGGATTGTGGACAGTGCATTGTTTTTGGACAGATATGGCACAGTGCGAGGTTAAGAAGGAAATGGACATCGCTCGAACTGAAAGGTATGGAAATGAAGAGGGGACAAGGAGAGTTACGAAAACAGATGACATAGCAGAGTAAATTAGACTGCGTAGGCTGCAATGAAAAGAGGTAAGACCAGCCCGAAACTTCACTAAGTTTTTCTGGGATAAACATATATATAACGTAAAATGCACACACATAGCATGGCTAGATCAGAGCCATTACACAATGTAATCACAGTGACGTTTAACTCATCAACCTTGCCCTTTCATTCAAATGTAACTCACAAGATTCGCAGTTCCGTGAGAGCAGTGAACCTAGTGGGGATGATGCCTGAGAGCTGGTTGGATGAGAGGTCACTGGGATAGATAAACATGCAAGTAGTTGAAAGGGATTGTAGCTCAGGTAGATTGAACTGCACAGCTACATGGAAATTCTTTGGGAACGTTGAGAATACTCAAAGGAGGAGACAAGGCACTTGTAGAGAAATAAATGACAATACAAGACCAACGTTTCTTCTCAAAGTACCTAACACACGAGTTTGTGTACCACAGCCAGTTTGTGGCGCGGCCCTTGCTCATACTTTTTCCCACCTTGGTTCATGCAAGAGTTGTAGTAAATTTCTTGTGAGCTCATGCACACTACTCATGCTAGCTAGCAGAATGTGAGAAATGCAAGCGAATATGATGAACTGAATGGAAACAGGATGTACAGGGGTATATTGGAAGAATTCTAGCACAAAAATAGGAGGAAAATGGGTGGAAATGTTGGAGGGAGTTAGGCATGCAAGTAACCTTACGAGTCAACCCGGAAGTCGGTTTGCAAGCACATTAATGCACAGGTAGGAAAATAGCACTAAAGGATCTTACAGCTCTCTGAGGTTTGTGAGAGCAGTAAATGCATCTGCAATCGAGCCAGTGAACTGGTTCCCACCAAGATATCTGAGGTCGTTAGAGACAGCAAGAAAATAAATGATGAGATTAGAAACCGGACCATGTTGGTTGAGAAATACGTAACACAGCTGTACGAGGGAAGGAATATGGGCATTTCCCTTTCCATGTAGGGTCTAGGGGGGTGGATGGGATAGACGAAGTGATACAAAAGGCCTTCTTTATGACGCAGATGGAAGGAGACAAGGGAAACAAAGGAGGGGAAGAGAAATGAGATGCCTCACTTAAGCATACCGCAGATACATGGTATCAATAAAAGATCAATGGTGATGAAAGAATAACATTGAATTGATGGAATCGGAGGAGAGATTAGTCGTCAAGAGAGGCAATGAAATGAGGGGAATGAGGCAACACTGAAGAATGAAGATAAATTGCATTGTCCCGAAATGTTTTAAATGGATAGAGCTGATAAGCGGTTCAAAACTAAAATCCAATATCAAAGAGAGGGCAACATCTAACTGCAGAGTGAATATATGTTTTTCAACAGAAACATGAGAAATCATAACCATGAGACGAGAGAGGAGAGGAGGGAGGAGGGAGTGATGGTGAACTTGCATAAACATTGTGAAGTAGGAGATTCCATGCATACGCTAGAATAGTTAGTGAATGAAATGTGGGGATACGACGAGAGATGAAATCAATACAGCATGACTTACAGATTTTCTAAGAAGGTGAACAAGGCGATACTTGCAGGAATTGTACCATTGAGGGCATTCTTCTTCAGAGACCTGGGATGAGCATAAATCACAACCCGAAAGGAAAACAATTGCACACTTCCAACTCAGATTACACAAAGAATAAGACTGCGTATGACCATAAGGGCAGCTGACATGGTATGCAGACTCTCCCAGAATGTGTGCTGACAAGCAAAAGGGAGATAGACAGAGTTACGAGACACGACGCGTGGAAAGAGAACTTTCTTGCCTGATCCAACAAGGGTTTTTGTTGACATACAGACAATGAGACAGCAGGGAGGTGGGTGTGGGCAACAGATTGGGACAATGGAGAAAGAAGTGGGAACAAGAAGAATGACGAAGGAAGGAGGACGAAGAGAGTGAAAGGTGGGGTGGGGAGAAGAACGATAAAGATGACAAATTCAAGGATCAGTGAGAAATTAAAAGTGAAGGAGGGGATGTGGAGAGCCAGGATGAACAGAGGACAGAATGACAACAGAGGAGGCGGCGCAGGACAGAATGCACAGAATTGTCAAGGGAAGAAGCAAGAACGAGAAGAAGAGAACTAAGGATGTATGGAGTAAGGGATGAGGTGAGGTGTGAGGCAGGCAGGCATACAGTGTCGTCAAGACTATCAGGGATGAAAAGCCAGCAGGGATAGAGTCAGTGAACCGATTGTTGTCTAGACGCCTGTGGTGACAAAGGAATCCGCAATAGGATGGGATGGTAGAGTTAGAAAAAAGGAGCATTTAGTTTGGAGGGTGAAACGAAGTTGGACAAAAGAATATGATTCGGTTGGTGTGCGTAGATGAGAAGAGATGAAGCAAATGAAACAAATAACAAGTAAAACAACCATAAACTGTTCAAATTATTGCACGTTAAGGAAGGACTCATGGATGCAGCTATTACATGCAAAGCACGCATCTAGCGCGCTCCAGTTGCATCTGGTACATTCTAAACGCGCCAACCATCACACACACATTGATCTTACACTCTGCCCGTCCAATCCTCACTCACAAGTTTTCTAGAATGGTCAAATCACTGAAACTAGCAGGTATGGTGCCTGAGAATTGGTTGGACGAAAGATCTCTGAAACAGGATGAAACATGCAAAAGATAACACTGAAATTGAAGCTGCTGGGATAGCAACCAGGAATTCTGATAAATGGTTGGGAGTGTAGGAGGTGAAACCAGGAGAAGCTTGGAATACAAACAGTGATTGAATGAAGGACAAGAGATGTGAACACAGAAAAGAGGATGTGGTGGAGCAGACAATCCAGATAATGTTTTTTTTTTTTTTTTTTTTTTTTTTTTTTTTACACCAAATGCTCGTAGTCCGTTGCCATGAACACCAAAAGAAATGGCTGGAAATCCGCACCACCAATCATTTTCACACGCCTGTTTGTTGGTCAGAATAACTCACACCCTCAGCTAATAACTCCCTTTGGATGAAAACACCCAATTCCTAATCCACTGTAAGAGCAGGGGTAACCTGAATCTCCCCATTAGATGCTTGATATCCTACATCACATCAGCTCTTTTGAAAGTTCATGAGCTTGCAGATAGTATTGGTGATGGTAAAATGTGAGGATTCAGATCAGAGGGAGAGCATTGGTAGGATAGGGTAAGAAAAGGGCAGCCATAGAGAAAAATAGGGAGACCTTACAGCTCTTTTATGCCAGTGAAGGACCCGATTGCTTCAAGGAGTGAGCCATTGAGCTGATTATTGGAAAAGTTCCTGGGTTGGTGAAGACAAGAAAGGCACAGGAGGATCGATGAAAGAATGGAGAGATATGAAAACCCAGGTTGGTTGTTGTGTTTTTTTCGTTTTGGCCACCTATCCAGTCAGCAGCACGATGGGCGTCTCCTTTAAAATGTTGGCAAACGGATTACTGAAGGGTTAAGTTGGTAAGAGAAATATGGGAAACGGTCATTTTTTCATGTACAATGTGTGTTTAAATGCAGGATACGGAGGGGAGACGAATACGAGAGAGACATGAGACTGGAATGGATACACATGGAAAGAAAAAAAAAAGAAAGAAAAAAAAGAAAAACAAAAACAAAAAACAAAAACGGGAAGAAGATAGCAAGAAAAAGTAGAGGACACACAAGAGGAGCAAACAGAGAAGGCATACAAATGGAAGGAGAGGGGAGCAGGGAATGAGAGACATATGGGGGAGATTGAGTAGGACAGCTGTGGTATCAAGCTGCAGTGAACGTGGAGGAGAGAAGGAAAGGGAAGAGAACGGCCGTATATCCGGGTAGGGCACTCAACACTGGAGACTTGGTGTGGCGAAACCTCTGTCACCATGGGCTAAGAAATTGGACAAAGGAGATCGAAGGAGGTGGACAAAGGTGTTTACCTCAACTGCTCCCTTACCAGGTAAGACCAGGCTGTAACCAAAGATGCAACTTTTCCAGTACCTTCACTCGGTTAACCCATGCATAGAACAAAAGACACAAGCATCGGATCTCAGAATTCTAGCTTGTGCGACAATGCACGTGTTGCAACAAATGCATTTAATTGCTATCAGTACTAGCATGATGAAAGAGGGAGCAGCATGGTGCCAAGCTGGCTATGACGGAGAGAGTTGACTAAGAAAAGGACGAGTCCAAGAGAAGCTTTGGGGCCTTTTAACCAAATAAAGAATACATACACGATGGAAATGTTTTTAAGAGAGCCGAATGCAGAAGGGATTGAGCCAGAGAGCCTGTTATTATAGAGACGCCTGTTTTTATGACAGTGGTCGGCATGCAGTAGTACAGATAAAAAGCAGGAGAGAACCCGATTGGTTGGTGAGTAAAGTTACCCATTGATGGATGCAACGCTCACCAGAGAATCAACATGGAATAAAACAGGAATATGAGAATATGAAGAGGACGAGAAACAAATAAAGCAGGCATCGAAGCAAGAGGAGCCGAAAACAAAGAAGTCAGGAAACTAAACGGCAGAGATGGCGAACATAGGAGGGACGGAGTGTGAGGGTGAGGGCACAAGACAATTGGACTTCCATAGGAACAAATTGAAGTAAGTAGTGACTAAAAAGAGAGAGAGGAGAGGTGATAATTGGAAAGAGTTACTTGGCAAGAAGAGGTGCGGAGAAAGTCATACAATGCAAGCAGTCTTGTTAAGGTGCTGATGGTCGCAGGTATTGAACCACTGATCATATTGTTGTTGAGAATTCTGGGAATGTGAAACGAACCAGGGATGGCACACGCGTTTAACTTTTTGTTGAACTGAGAAAAGGAAACTGGGGGATAAATAATGAGATGAGAGGTTGGCGACAAAGCGATGAAGCTGGAGGAAAGACAAGTAGCAAATTAGAGGATGAAAAGGATGATGGAAGAGAAGAATTGCTTGACAATTGTCACGTTGAATATGTCCATGTGCGTGGAACAAGTGTGTGAATGCGTCCATGTTGCACTGATCAAACAGATAAAGCTGACTGACTTAAGACAAGAAATAAAAACTTCTAAAGGGGAGAATGTTGCACTAGGTGAAACAAAGTGTGCCAGATCGCACGACTGAAGAAGCTGAAGCCGACAAGTAACCCTCAGGGTGATCAGTTCATTGTGGCTCACAAGGATTGTAGCATGGAAAAGCGACTGAAGCTGTCAGGGATGCTGCCTGACAACTGGTTGAATGAAAGTTCACTGGAATGGTTTATCAACAAGCATTCAAGCAGGAGAAAAGCACATTGAAGACCGATTGAACCTCACACAAACAGAAGACATGAACACAAACGAGCAACATAAGAGCACCGTATGAACAGCAACGAGCACCATACCATAGAACCGCGAAGCAAGCGCAATCTCAGCCTGGATTTCTGGAGAGGAGAGATGGAAGAGGAGACTAGATAAGGAGAAACGGCGGGGAAGGATAGACAGAGGAAGAGCACAGAACGTCAGAGCTCTTACAGGTGTCTCATGTCTGTGAGAAGGCCGAGTTCACTAGGCATTGAGCCTGTGAGGCTATTGTTATGAAGTCTCCTGTATTATGAATGAACAAATCATGAAATGCGCGACAGGCATAGGCAGATTGTTAGAGTTTTATCTGTATTCAGCAACACAAGTTCTGACTTTTCAAAGCTGTGAATTACGCTTCTGGAGTGGTGCGGGTGGCGGAGGAGGAGGAGGAGGAGGAGGAGGAGGAGGAGGAGGAGGAGGAGGAGGAGGAGGAGGAGGAGGAGGAGGAGGAGGAGGAGGAGGAGGAGGAGGAGGTAAGGTGTATCAAGATTGACACACAATCCAGTGACAGAGTCAAGCATAGAAACAGAGAATCATGTCTCACAGAAACCGCAGCTGCTTGATTGCACTGAAACCGGCAAGTATGCTGCCTGAGAGCTGGTTGGAAGACAAGTCACTGTGAGGGTTTATATCACGCAAGGGAGAGAAGAATGCATTGAATATAGTTATACGAATTGCACAGCTGAATAGTGGAAGCTCCAAGGTGAATTTGTATGTAAGAGCAGCAAATAAAGATGGGGGGTAAGCATTGGAGGTGCGAAGTGTGCAGTTGCCGAGGTAAAAATCACTCTTGTTTTTAAAGCAAATGCAGGGGACTGGTAGCAAAGCATTTTCCACAACCCTCTCTGTGAAAGACTATTCTCCCAAAAGAGGAGAGGAAAACTGAGGTGGGTGATTGGAAATGTAGTGAGTTCTGGCGTCATCAGACAAACAGGAGAGACAGAAGGCATGGAAATCAGGGCCACAGTAGAACGATTACATCAACTTACATGCTTGCAAGGTTTGTAAGAATGCTAAAGGATGCGGGGATTGAGCCTGCAAGCTGGTTGCGTTTAAGACCCCTGAGATCATGAACACGAGTTGTGGATGGGGAAATGAACCAGTGTCCACTGACAAGTGCATGATATGAGATTGAGAGCAGAATATGCAAGAGGATGATGTGTGAATGAAATGTATACATGTGTGTGCGGAGAAAAATCGAACACCGGGATAGGAGAAGTGAGGGGAACTTTTCTGTTCACCTGTATGTCATCCGTACATACATGCAGCAGAAGTCGTCGATTGGAGGGAGGGATGGGGGGTGCAGTGTGGGAGGGCGGAGAGGGGGGGGGGGGGGGGGGGGGGGGGAGGAGGGGAGGTGGAATAATCGATAGCAAGACTTACAGGCCCCACAAGTTTGTAAAAGAAGTGGCCGGATCTGGGATTGATCCATTGAGCTGATTGCCATCAAGGCTCCTGTGATGGGAACACGAGGCAGACAGGAAAAAGTTGAAGTGAAGTGCGCATGCAGCAGAAAAACAAGGACAAATAGGGGTATGAGAAATTAGGAGACCTGGGAGAAGGAGAAGTGAGGAAAATTAGGGATAAGAGACTGTTTACATGCTCCTATCCACGGTGAGTCGCCTATGCATGTAACGGGGGAGCACAAATGGGACCAAACCAACCAAGGCCAATGAGTGGAAAGGAAAGAAAAAAAAGTACTGATGTGGAGAAAGGAAAGGAAAGTAAACGTGGAAAACCACAGCAAAGGGAGGTAATACAAGATGACATTTTTTAGAAAACATAAGGAATATGTGCAAGGAATCAGATAAGTGGCAGATAGATCATTTGTAACTTTTGTATTTATCCTCACATGCTTGCGCATTCTAGTGTTGATATACAGTTCATGGTTGCACACCGAGATGATTGGAGGATTTACATTAAAAGCATATTTGGAAGTGAAAATAGCTCATTGGGGATGGGTCCAGTCAGCTGATTGTCGCCAAGTTCGCTGTGATAATGAACACAGATGGGTGTTGCAGGAGCAGCATGGAAAAAATTATCAGAGACACAAACTTTTAAGACTGTTCAAGATCCGACCTTCATGAATTTTGGAGCAGACGGCTGTTTCAATTTCTATATGAAGCAGTCTTGAGAAATGTTGAACATAAAAATATGGAAACGTAGAGAAAATGTTGAAGTAATAAAGACTCATAGGCACGAAATACGCAAGGAAGAGGATCAACGCTGGGTCACTAAAGTACACTAGTAACAAGATTTCTTTCCAAGTATGATGAAATAAAAAAAGCAGAGATGAGAGTGGCAGAAAAAGAGGGTAAAGAGATGAGGTAACTGTAACAAATCGTTCATTTTTATACCAGGATGAACAGAGTAGTGTTGCCACTAATCTTGCCACTGGTTATAACACTCCTCAACTTACACATCTTCGTTCCTTTGTTTTATACTTTTGCACTGCAAACACGAACGTTCTGCTACTGCCGTGAAGGCACTGCATGAATGGTAAGGTTGGTGCGACTGCAAAGTGGAATGAATGAAGATGATGGAAGATCAAGCACTCGGAGGGAGGGGGAAAGGCTCATCAAAGAAGAGGTCTTACAGGCCCATCATGTTCGTAAGAGAGCTCAGTGCTGCAGGGATTGTACCAGTGAGCTTGTTATTCTGGATATAACTGCAACAACGATGTCCCAGCGTTCGATGAGAACAAGCAAAGCAAGGGCAAAGGGCCACATTGAAACGAAGAGCAAGTAGGAGCAAGCAAGCAGATACGTCACTTGATGACACTCCTCCAACAACATTTCTGGAACGTGCACAGGCTAGAGCAGAAAATTGAGGAGGAATTATAGCACATTCATGTTTGTTAACTTTCTTGAGGGTATTACAAAAAAGGATGTGTACAATATAGAAAGTGGAAGGTAAGAAGACAACGGGGGAGACAACAACTGAACACCATAAGACGGAAGAAAAAACATTAACAAGGATGGGAGGACTAGAGAATTCCAAATAGGAGGAGCAATGATATCGATCAGGACACACATTCCCTGAATTCCTGGATAGAACATGCCAGAGCTGAGATTTCAATGCCTTCGAAGTTACATTGCAACAAACGGTGTGCTCCCTACTAGCAGGAAGTAAGAAGGCCAGCAAAGATGCTGGGAAGAGGAGAGGTAAAGGCAAACATTCGGAACGGCTTGAGGAAAGGAAGGTACTGCCACTTTGGCTTACAGGACTACCAGGCTCTGAATAGAGCCGACTTCAGTGGGAATAGAGCCTGTGATCTGGGTGTTGTATAAATGGCTGCAATGACGAGCACAGGTCATGCATGGAACGAAACGGTTGCATACAGTGGCTGGGTGGCAATGGGAATGGCTTAGGAAAAAAAGGGGGACAGGAGGGGGAGAAGAATGAAGTGAACTAATGAAAATAGATTTGAAAGGAGGGACGGCGCGAGAAAGAACATAAACTTGGTGGAAGGTGGGAACTTAGAACGGTGGATATCAAAGGGTAAGGAAGGACAAAGAAGAGAAGCGGTGAACAGAAAACCGGTCGAAGTAAAGTGAGGCAGAGATCAGTGTACAGAAAAGCTTTTACAGAGGGGTTAGGAAGAGCACAGGAGAAAGGAGGAGAAGAAGGACAGGAGAGGAGAGGTTCTGGGCATACTCATGAATAGATAGAGGTTAGAAGAGGAGTAGGAAAGAGATCAAGTACAAGAGGAGTAGGATCAAGTGAATAAGTATGGAGAAAACTGGATAGGGGAATTCGGAAGTAAAAGCCTGGAATATCAGGCTATGAGTAGACAGAGGTAGTAACGCACCAGAAATGGAAAGAACATAAACGGAAGGCCTTCATGAACTCAGTTATTCGTATTAGAGACTCTACGAGCACACAAGAACATCAAGATTGTAAGAGAATATCATACAGGAACATTAAACTTGTAAGACTGCTGAAGGTGGTTGGTAGTGAACCATTGAGTTGATTGTCACCGAGACCTCTGGTAAGATAGACACGAATAAAGGGAAACAGAAGAGGGAGATGAAGTCACAAGGGTGGCGGAAAGGCAAATGGTCAGAAGCGGAGTGGAGGGCCATCAGAAAAATATGAGAACAGAGAAGTGCAAAGTGGAAAAATGCAGGGAGGAAACGATCCCAATTAGGTTGTGGTCTTACAGCCATGTCATCTTGACAAGGCTTCCAAGTTCTCCAGGTATCGAGCCTGTGAAACTATTGCCACCTAATTGCCTGTGTCAAAGCAACCACACACAAGAACCACAATGAGAAAAAGACAGGGAAGTTAGAGAGAATTAGATAGGAACCATATGCTTTTCTTTGCTTGAAAGCGCATTGGTCCCTCCCTGGGATACTCAGCGGCGCGAGGCGAGATAAATGGAGGGACAGGAAAGACACGAGAGCATTAAGTGCGTAATAGGGACAACGATACAAGAGCACAAGGAACTTACAGAAATTCAAGGCTTGTAAGGGCGCTCAGTGTAGAGGGAATAGTGTCAGTAAGCTGATTACCCCACAAATACCTATGTCGAAAAACCGCACGCGCAAAACATACACAGTGCAAGAGACATAAACCACACCAGTAGAAGAGAAAGAATTACATTGGCAGCAGAAATTCGCAGAACTAAGAACTTAGTTACTTCAGATCCAAATTTACACCAAAAATGAAAAAAAAAAAAGGGAGGAGGTCCAGGAGAAATCGAAAGAACATGGGTGTGGAGCAGCTCATTCTCTGTTGTTTCTGGCCAGACCAGATTCCCGCAGCCAGTTACCTTGCGGACGAGAACAACCACAAGGATACAACTTGAGAGTCCTTAATTACCTTTAATATTAAGTTCCCGGTTTGTTTGCCATGCGTCGAGATGCCGAGAATAACGTATTATAATGAAGAGGGTGGAGTACGAGGAATGAGGCAGAGAGGAGAAACATTGAGCAGAGGAGAATGTACGCGGAGGGATGAAGCCCAGGACCGCAGATGCCTTACAGATTTTTCAGGTTCTTGAGAGAGCTAATTGCTGCAGGGAGTGGTCCGCTCAGCTGATTGGTACCAAGACTTCTGTATTTATGGAAGCACGAAATTTCGATGCAGCATTCCAGTTTGCATGAGATTCAAGACGGGATAGCAGCAAGCACACAATCTTGTAGGAACGCACAACAGAACACATAGGAGCGTTGCTCATAGCGAGCTGCTTTTGAACAAGGAGCAACTTCGTATTGAAGGAGGAAACTGGAGAGTGGTAAGGGAGGAGCAGCAAGAGATGAACGTGAGGAGAACAGGGAACGATCTTCAAGTGCACAGGAAATCAAACGGCTTACAGTGTTTCCAGATTTGTCAGAAGGCCTATTGCTGTAGGAATAGGCTCAGTGAGCTGGTTGTAATCTAGAGATCTGTGTTGATGGACACGATTCATGCATTGAGTGGTGTGCGAGCACAGATTGGCAAGGTGGGATCGGGATGAAAGCAAGCAGTGCATATTAAACGAGAGCTGATGATTTTGTAGAAGAGGGGAGGATAGGAAGCTGCAGGATAGAGTAGAGAGAAGACCTACCTACATATGAAAGGAGAATAATTCTAGTGCTACGAAAAGAAGGGAATGCAGACATGGTAAGGTTAAACACACGATGAAGAAAGAGAAGGCTTAGGATCGAAGAACAGAAGAACAGAACCACAAAGGAAGAGCCGGATGCAGAAGAAGCCAGAGGAAGATTAGTGGAGCGAGAAGAGTGCGGAGAGAGAAGAGAGGGCAGGAGGTGAGAAGAGAGGAGATTCTTTGATAAGAGCACAAGCAGCCGCAGAAGTAGCATCCGCAGCAGCAGCAGCAGCAGCAGCAGCAGCAGCAGCATCAGCAAGAGAAGCAGCAACATCTAGATTGCAGGGCAATGGGTGCAGCAGGCATGGGGGTTGGAACGGTGGCAGCACTCTGGCACCCACAGTGTGAGAAGACCTGTCAAGCTGCCAAGTGCTGGAGGGATGGGCCCTGAAAACTGATTGCGGGACAGGTCCCTGGAGATTCATGAGGGGAATGAGGGATGGATGGATGGATGAATGAATGGAATGATGGACAACTGGTGGGTTGACCTGTAAACAAGCCGTTCAGTTGATGGTGGCTAATTGGATTGATGGGTCTACTTGATGGATGGTGGTTATGGTGATGGTGATGGTGGATTGACAGATGAGTTGTTGAGCTGATCAGTGAATTGATTGAGTGATGGGGTGAAAACGCAATTGACCGCAAGGGGGCTTTGCTGCAGGAGGAACGCAGGAACCAGAACTTTACCCAAAGATGAGCATTCAGATCCAAGAATTTTGTTATTTTTCCTTTGTATTTAACATTTCTCAAATGTGTGTGATCTACATCACAGGGGCCTTGACACGATCCCCTGCTTCACTGCACCAAGTTTACTTGTTCCCTAAAACAGTCTCTCACCTTTGTTCTTTGTTCGTAAGTCCTTCACCTGAGATAACAATGTTCACTAATCTCGCATGGTGAAACCACAGAAAGTGCGGCTCCTTACCCTTTCATTGCTCTTGAAGATATCCGACTAAAAGAAATCCCTCAGCAAAAACTTTCAGGGTCTCGATTAATGAGAGCAAGAAACACCAAGAGCTAGCCCGAGTGCTGCACAACAGCGCACATCACTTACAGACTAGCGAGGGTCATGATTGATGCAAGTGCCGTGGGCAGTGAACCGGTGAGCTCGGTCTGAGTAAGGGACCTGCAAATATGAACACAGATCACGCATACAATAGATTAAGGTGGGAGTTGAAGATGAGACTTCGAGAGATGCACTTGTAATGCATGTAAATTCTCATGTGCCTCAAAAATCAATTTTGAGGTGACACAAGGCAAAAATAAAACAGGAGAGGGGAGGGAGGAGGAGGAGGGTTTGAGGTATTTAGGGGCACTGTGGACCTTGAATGCTGCTCACTGAGATGTGGCTGGGTGAGTGGTGGGCTAAGTTGGAATATACGCGTTTAGCGTTTTGTACGCTTGCTGTATAAACGCTAGAGTATATACGCAAACCGCAGTCCCTGAGGGGTCTGGTACGCACAAGAATCCGCTTGCCCGGGCAGGAAAAAAGTTTTCCCCGGGCAGATTTTTGGGGTAAGAGGTGGGGATGGGGGGGTGTTGTAACCCCCATCCCCTTTGTATTAATATGAAAGTTACAGGAAAAAAAAACCCTTAAAACTAATCTGCCGCTACAACTTCACCCACCTTAATCATGCTACTACCCCCCCATCCCCTACTCTACTCAGGTCCACCCTCCATCCCCCGCCTGCCGCTCATGCATGGAGCCTTCCATCCACTAGTACTCATCTGCCATCACATCATCCTCCCCCTCCTCAGGTTCCTCCACCTCCTCCGGGACGTTATAGCCAGCCGGAGTGGGGGGGTCCTCGATGTTTCCCTTCACCACCCCCAGCCCTTCAGGGGCCTTGTGCCAGTTGTGCACCACCTGCCAATTGTGCGTCACATACACCAGGTCACGAAGCTTCACCGCGCCGAGGCGGTTCCTCCTTGCCGTATGCACTGCATCAAACTTCGCCCAGTTACGCTCACATGGAGACGCAGACACCGGCTGCGTGATGGCGCGGCAAGCCATGGTGGTGAGCTCAGGATGATCGGTCCCGTGCCATGTCCACCAGTCCACCGCCGTCATCTTGCCCTCCTTCACTGCCTGGCGGTCGGCAATAGCGTCGGGCATGCCGAAGCTGCCTTGGAGGTTCAGGAAGGCATTGAGGCCTTCCTGGATGACGAGAAAGGCGTGGCGCTCGACCCCGTCCTTCCTGGTGACCGTCTTGTCACCATGGTGCTTGGAGACGTACTGCTTGAAGACCCTCGTGCACTCCAGGTCGGTGCGGAAAATGCACTCTTCCTGGTTGGTGGGGTAGAGGATGCGGCCAATCACGTGCAGGTTGCACGCCAGCCCGTTGTCCCAACGGTCCTGCACGATCTCCCGAATATCCCCCACCTCGTCGCTTGTCAGGACCCCTTCCGCATGCTCGTCGAGGAAGTCGCGGATGTCCTCGGTGAGCTGGAGCATGAGGTCGTAGAGACGACCCATCATGCCCTTCGAATCCGAGTCAGTCTTGCGTATGACGACGAATGGCAGCCTCATCAGCTTAGCGAAGAACTCGGCGCGCGTCCACCACGCGGCATCGAGGATGTTGTCTTTGAATGTGTCTGCCCCAGCCCTGTCTACAGCCGCAGTCCACTCGACCCACTCATCGCTGAGGACCATCTGCGTCAGGCCGGCGCGCACTTGACAGAGGCGGTTGATGGCGATGTAGTTGGTGCCGAATCGGGTTCCCGCGGGCTTGAGAACCTGTTTCCCCTTGCCGCCGTTCACGAGCGGACTCCGCATGTATCCCCGGGTGAAGTGATGGTTGCGGACGAACGAGATGAGGATGTCCCCGCGCGTGACGATGCCCTTCGCCCATCCCTTTTTCCCGATGTCCTCCATCAGGAGATCGAGGACATGGGTCGCGCAAGGGATGTGTTCAATGTGGGGATACTCGCGCATCAACACCCTGCATGCCGCCGCGTAGTTGGAGCCGCCGTCAAAACACAAGGCGACGACATTCTCGGGGCCGACCTTTTCGATGATGGGCCGCAAGATGCCCGCGATGTAGCCCCCGGTCTTCATCTCCATCTTCGTGTCGATCGACTCCACAAACACCGCACCGCTATCGTTGATGAGGAGCACGTTGGCTTGCGGGCGGCCGGCCTTGTCGGAGAACATGTCGCTTGCCACGGTGACACCGTCACGGCGCCAGCTTGCTGAGATAGGAGCGAGCGCCGCCTCAATGCGCTGGCGACACTTTGTAAGACCGGCGCCACCGATGTAGCGTCTCTTCGGCGCGACGTAATTCGGCCCCGCGCGCTGGATGCTGGAGACCACATTCCGCCACAGTCGGTGGTCCGCGTGATGCTCCGGCACATGAAGAGCGGCAAAGAAGAGGCTTATGGCCTCGTCCGCAGCTTGGTTCGCGCACGCGGCGTCGTCGCCGTAGAAGTCGGTCATCCGACTCTTCTTCTTGTCCGAACCTCTGCCGTTGACTGCGCCGACCGCCGCAATTTCAGCCGCACGCTTCGCTTCACGGGCCTTCAACTTGGACTCGTAAAGCGCCTTCACGGCGTCACGTGCAGTCTTCGGCGCTGCAGTGCAGAGATGCACTTCGCGACGGCGCATGCCGTTCCAGCTGGTGATATGCTGCGCGCAACGGTGAACCCCGCCAACAAACGTGAAGTTGCAGTAGGCACACACCTTGGTGCAGTTCTCGCCAACGCTATTGGCCGGCACCTTGAAGTGACGGTAGACTGCGTGCTTGCTGTCCATGCAGACCAAAGACGTACTAGAAGAGGTTCCACCAGCGGAACTACCAAGAGACTCTGAGGGTGGCGTACGAGAAGTGGTTGCTGTAGGAGTGGAAGCCATGGTGGCTTGGGAAAGGAGATAGCTAGAATAGGAAGCGAGAGAATGAATGTCGAGGGAACAAACGCCTCTCTTTATGCCTGGGAGATTGGGTTGGGTTGAGCTCCCAACCAGTAAAGTAGCACTTGGAGGGGATGGTGGAATGCTGTGGTTCAAAGGGGTGTGAAACGTTTGAGGGGAGGGGTTGATGAGGTTTGGTGCTCGAAATTCAAAATTTGAGTTCATTTCGCGACATCTGCGACTCGGAATTGAGATCGCCACGTCGCGAGCTTCAGATTGAAATTTTGTTTTTTTTCGGTCTGCCCGAAATTCAACTCGGCGAATTTTCAAACTATACGCAACGTACGAATTCGACAAGCGTATAAACGCAAAACGCAAAATGAAAGTAGCGTATATTCCAACTTAGGTGGTGGGTGGGTGGGTGGGTGGGTGGGTGGGTGGGTGAATGGATGGATGGATGGATGGATGGATGGATGGATGAATGGATGGATGGATGAATGGATGGATGGATGGATGGATGGATGGATGGATGGATGGATGGATGGATGGATGGATGGATGGATGGATGGATGGATGGATGGATGGATGGATGGATGGATGGATGGATGGATGGATGGATGGATGGATGGATGGATGGATGGATGGATGGATGGATGGAAGCATGCATGCATGAATCCATGGATGCAGAGAGGCAGGGAGGGAGGGAGAGATTGACGAATAGGATAATCATCTCCTTGCTCTCTGTTAAACGTATCTCCATTTTCTCAAACATAGCTCAGTTCCCATAACATAGCTCTGTGATCGCTGGACCTCCCTCTCAGGCCCAAGCTTTGCTGTTGCTATTGGTATGTACTGTCGTGTACCACCCCTTCCCATTCCACCTTTCACTTCTGATCTGAACGGGTCTGTGGCAGGCCAAGTAAAATCTGGACAGGACTCCCTTTCTTGCGTTGTTTTGCAGCAGTGCAAAGCAAACAACGTACAGCTTTGTGAGGGTCTGGAGCTTGGTGATGGAACTGGGAATGGCCGCTCCTAGTGTGACACCATAGATGTTCCTGCATGCAACCAGGTGATGCCCATATCATCATCAGCATCATCATGCCATGCACGCAGTGCAATGTAACCAACCGTCCGTGAAGCCCCGAGCATACAACCAGACCAAGCCATGCACGTAAACATGCCAGCACACACAGTTAAAGCTAGCAAACAAAGAGCTAAGGGTGGTCAGGTGAGAGGCCCAGAACTATCTTCTTCCACTAGCTTGTCAAACCTCACGGCTTCAATGCGAGCCCTGTCTGGGCTCATCAACAAACCAGGGTATAATGTAAGCGCAGTGCACAACGGGTTGTTGTGGAATCACTAGGCAGTTAGACGGTGTAGCTTAGGCATCTATGCAAATTACCGTCCTACTAGAGTAGACTTCCACAAGAGCGCCATGGCGAATTTTAGATGCAGCAGCTCTTGAATTGGCAGGCTGCTACCTTGCAGAGCCTATAGTCTCTAATTTGCCGGACCTAAGACCCAGTACGGTCGGAACCTTCCCGAGCTATCTATTATCATCATGATTACTACCTTCTCAATCTTCAAGAATTAGGGTTATCATATCGCACGTTTTGACTCACATCTCCGTGATCATCCCGTTTTCGTCGCAGACAATAAAGTCGGTTGTGCTGCAGTCGGGACTGGAGTCACCCCAGCCGTTGAAATTCTGCCCCCATGCCGATTGGATATCTTGGAGGGCCAGAGCTGCAGGCAGTGCGGGGCGGGAAACGATGTACGTGGATGTGACCGATGAGAAATATTGAAAACAGCCGATCGTCCTCTTTACTATTCCATGATCGGTAATTTGTACAGCTATACTACTGATACGAATAGAGTAGCAACTTCGAACGCGGCGGCCGCACCGACCAAGTTCCGCCGCCGGTTCTGGGCATCAGCAGTCACGGTGGCGCCTCACAACTGGCCTCGCCGAGCGTCTCTCACCTTGCGCCCCGTCGAGGGTCTGGGCATCAACCATCGCGTAAGGCGGCGTGGCAACAAGAGCAGCAATCAACCATGCTAGTGCCACCGCGCATGATGGCTTCATGAATCGAGTCATCACACGTGGCAGTGCCAATGCCACCGCCAAATAACTAGTAGTACTTCTAAATGGATATCAGGTTCTGGCGTATTTGTGAAGACTTGCACAGGCTAAACTAGATTCTACGAAAACGGCCGGAGGACGGTATCCATGTCACCCGGCGGGTCGGGTTTCAATGCGTGTTTGACGTCCACTATCATTAAGTTAGCTATGTGGTGGATGCCTCAGTTTCTACTACTAGACTCGCTTGTATGGGGGAGCACGCCACAAACTTCTGAGAGTAGGGAGTGAGCACTTGCCGAAATGCTACTAGTTACGCTGCAGGATCCAGAAGGTGGGTTTGTATTGATATGTTCGAATTGGATGTGCCTCTCAGCGTCAGAATTCTTGGTTGAAGAGGCAGGTTGCAACAGACAAACAAGGCCAAGGGGATTTTTTCTTATGCAACTGAGGCTTTTTTATCCTGGTTGTTTTGAGAGCAACTCCAACCCAACCTTTTTTTTTCCATTCTTGCAGCTGGCAAGACGAGCAAACACTTATCAATACCATGTCCCCATCCCAGGGTTGCCTGAAAGTCGATGGGGGTGCTTGCCCGAGTGTTGATGATGTCACTCCAGAAATAGGGTTCTTGAAAAACGACCCGTGAACAAATGAGTGGTACGAAACATTACCCAGAATCTATCTTCCAAACATTACAACGAAATTGTGTGTCATGGGGAGGTGGATACAGTGTGACATTGCTTCTTGTCCACACACATCCTTGTGTGGTGGCAATGACAGTTCATAAACTTGGGTAGACCTCTGAGATGTTGCACGCACCTTGCAAGGGATTGGCCAGAACCATTTTGTCGACTTCGCTAAATACAAGTACAGAATCGATCTACAATGCGTGACTGTACTTTCGGCCGTTCGGCCTCTCCATCTCCAGGTTACACCCACCTAGCCCTGGCCAATTTCACACCACCTGAAACATAGAAATACAAGAACAAAAGGCTATTCGACGTTGCAGCGCATAGACTGGATCTTCCGCTGCGACTATTTTTTTGTTTTCTGTTGACTGGTGTGGGTGTCTCGAACATTTGCCTACATAAAGCCTAATCTTTCCGAATATTCCTCGATTTTGGGTAAACCAGAATGGATTGCCCAGTGGCTTCATACCACCGCCCTCCATCAGCAGAAATTTCGCTACTTAGTTCTTTGCTCACGCTTCATTATGAGAACCAGGCTAGTTGGTTGTCAGGAACATTTTCACGGTCCACGTGTCACATAGAATAACAGTTCCTGGGTCACTGATCGGGCCATAGTCTGACGGGTTGCAGAACCCCATTTCCCGGTCGTTGGACAAAACATCCAGAGATGAATGGAAGAAGGGTAAACTGAGATCTGGACCCTAAGACTATGAAGGCTCTTGTGAGAAATACACATCCACGAAGTAGGGCTCCAAATGGCCACCCACCCACTGGGTTTTTGTCGACTTTCGGCAAGTGCTAACCCCAGAATGAGAGCCGGCTCTCTCCGACCAACCACTGCGCATCCTGTCATGCACTCACAACTGCTGAAACAGCCGTCTCCCAACACCTCATCACGTGGGCTCGGGCTGGGGTGATCGAAGTACAGTCGATGCTCAGCCTATCACAAAAAAATTGCTCCTCACAATTAGAAATTTAGTCACTCGCGAACGTTTTGCCCGTGAGTGACTAAATTGACCCATTCTGCGGATTTCAGGGTATAGTCACCAAGTTGCAGAAGAAAAACATCTACAGTGCATAAACAACAACGGTTGCCCGTCAATAGGAAAGTTTACCTGGTTACGAAATTAAAGCCCGTGTCTTGATTGACATTGCAATTTCATATTACAGTCACATTTTTGCCCGTGGCGACAAGGGCGAATGTGGCGAAATGCCTGAAACACGTTTCACTCACATGCCGCCCGCCTACCTGGTGTTCTTGAAATGAGCACCGACTGTACTGCATCAACTCGACGTCGAGGGATGTCGGTGAATCCTGACGGTTGGAACAGTTGATCCGAGGGTTGAAATTCACCGACATCCCTCGACGTCGAGTTGGTGCAGTACTTAGATCACCCCTAGAAATCTGTGGCTAGAATGACTGCACAGAATCCTGGACAGGGTTGATGCGTCCAAGCAACACCACGTCATCCACACCCAAACATTCTGATTCTAGGACTGAGTGATGTTGCATTGTTTATGTGGAGAAATGCGTGCAGAGAACAATAGCTTGTACCTTTGCATTGCACCTCCTATAAACCGGAATCTTCAAGTAGAACAAAAAAAACAGCAAATATAGGGTGTGAATATGGAAATATTGAGATTTAATGAACATCATATGTCGGTTGTGGCTTAATATATCTGGTCTCCGTCAATTCATGCCAGCGCGGCTTTGCAGACTAGGATGCGGTTGGCGCTGTCTGTACACAGGCTATGGGGCTGACGCGAGGGCTGTCGCGCTAAGGGGTGCGCTGAGAGGTGTGCTAAGGGGAGCGATGGTGCAACCGGGACAGGATGCTCTAGGGCATCCCAAAAATCTCGAGGCAGAAATCGCTTCAAAGGCATGGGATACTCCAAGGTCACCCTAGAAGAGTAAACCCGAAATTCCCACCAACAAGCCTGCAAGTTACCTTTGGCATTTCGCGAGAAGGATGAGGACCAATCAGGTTTTAGCTCAACTTGTGAAGAAATGAGGAATGAACAAGAGGGGTTGCACTAGCAGCAGTTGGCATACATATAGGAAACCCTAATTGGGTTGTACTCGCTATAGAGTACCCCACTGCAGGCTACACAAGTATAACATTCTGACACACCCCCATAGCCAAAGTGGGGTATAATCAGCACAATGAGCAAGCAAGCATAGAGCAGGAGTTCACAATAGCGAGCAAAGCTAGAATTAATCACAGCGGGCAAGTGAGGAGGAGGAGGAACTGTGGAGGGAGAGAAGATGGGAGGCAACGACTGAAGCTGCAGAGGCACGGACACAGGAGCGGCTGACTCAATGGTTACCGAAGCAAGGGCGACGGACTACTGGAGTAATTGGCTCCGCGGCTATAGACGAGCGGCAGGAGCAACGGACCTATTGGCGACTGGTGCAACAGGCTCACTGGCTACCGAAGCAAGGGCGACGGACTACAGGCGCTGCAGGCGACACGACAGCTACCTTCACACAACCTCCTCAAGCTGCCCCACACCTCTCGACACACACCCCTTGCTCAAACCCTAGTTCCACTCCCACAGCACCCCCCTTTCACACACCCCCTGCTGCACCCTAGGTTCACTCACACCCTACCCCCTAGCACCACTCCGTCGACTCCCACACACCCACCCCCCTCAGCGGCAGCTGTAGCAGTGGGAGAAGGAGGAGGAGGAGGAGCAAGGGAGACCACACACCCGCCACCCCCTACTCGCCACCCCTAGACCCTAACACAGGGCAGGGCGGGACGGCGGGTAGGGAGGTTACGGCGGGGGGGGGGGAACGCGCGGCCTCCCAGGGCGCCAAAACAGGCGGCAGAAGGGGCGACGCTCGCCCCCCCCCCCAAGGTCGCGTAGCCCTCTCAGGTCGCCTCGACAGTCGACGGGAAAAGAGGGGGGGGGGGGGGGGGGCGGGGCGGTGCACGGGCCCCCGGTACGCCGCGACAGGCGACAGAGCATGGCCGGGGCGGGGCCGGGGCAGGCTCGAGGCAGGGCCGAAAGGGGCGGCGACGGGGCCGCAAGGGGCGGCGACGGGGCCGCAGGAGGTGGCGACGGGACCGATAGGGGCGGCGACGGGGCCGCGAAGGGGCCGCGAGGGGCCTGGAAGGGCGGCGACAGGCCGCTAGGGGCGGCGACGGGGCCGCGAAGGGGCCGCGAGGGGCTTGAAAGGGCGGCAACGGGGCCGCTAGGGGCGGCGACGGGGCCGCGAAGGGGCCTCGAGGGGCCAAGAAGGGCGGAAACGGGGCCGCTAGGGGTGACGACGGGGCCGCTAAGGGTCGCGCGAGGGGCCTTGAGAGGGGCCTCTAGGAGTGCTCGACAGGAGGGCGGCCGACGGGAAGAAAAATTCCGTCGCACGCCACGGGGCGTGCAGCATGTGAAGATTAGAACGAAAGAATGATTGAACTATGAAAGAGTTGGGTACAAGTACTAACCCTAATTGGGTTGTACCCCTTATGGGCTACCTCACTACAACCTACATTAATGTATAAGCTATAATGTTCTGACACACCCCCATTGGCAAAGTTGGGGAGAACAAGTGGTCACAAGACCAGTCAAGCAAAGCAAAGCAAGCTCAGGATGGATCACAAAGTCACCACACAGTCCGAGCACAAGAGTAAGGCGACAAGGCGAGTTCACATGCAAGATCATATATATTAAGGTAAACAAGCAAGTGCAGATATAGAAAGAGTACAATACAAACAAGATCAAGAAGTGAGCAAGTGAGGCCAAGTAGGCACAAGACCTAGCAAAGTACAGAACTGCTGATGAACTCAAGGCGGAAGGGCCTTGCTGAAGATATCAGCGGTGTTGGCCTCAGAGGCCACGTAGGTGAGGCGGAGCTGACCACGCTGCCGCAGCTCACGAGCCAGGAAGTAGCGGAGAGCAATGTGCTTCGTTTTGTGCTCCAGTCTGTGCTCTCGACACAAGGCCCGCATGGCCTTGTTGTCTACGTACAGAACTGG